AATGATCATATGATTCATCATAAGCCTATCTCTAAATGATGAAAGGAGAATTTTGATTTTGGCGTTTTGGATAAGGACTACTGTATACTGAGTTACGATCAGTGCTTACATTAGTATACAGATAATAAAATAATAATACATATTAGTAAAATGATATAGTATATCACATATATTGAGGATAGCCAAACTGATGCCTGTAGATATTACTTAAAACTGAAACTTGAGGCAATATACGGAAATATTAGAAAATACTGAAATCACTGAAATCAAGGTTATCTTTAGAGTTTTATTATATAATTGATTATATAATAACTAGTTATTCCTATTGATTCAATGAGAATAACTTCAAATTGTAATAATACAGGGTTAATACAAGGTTATTTTACTATATTTCCATATTTCAAAATATTCAATGTATACCATTGAACAGGCCCGTCCATATATGGAATATAGGAAATACTAATAAACATTGGTTATAATATAGTCTTTCGTCTCATTCCGCATCTTCGAATTTCTATATATTGACTATCTCCCTGAAATAACAATTTAATTAATAAAATAAACAAAATACAAAATAAATAATTTTGAAGTGCCCTAAGCTAAACCAATATAAGAAAACTTTATATAATCATCCGATTTTACAGAATCAGTATAGCTATATAATGACGGTTGGAACTCGAGTTCAATGAGTCGCATTTGGTCATCCATTCCCTCTTGTACAATTTTTACCCTAAGGATGGTAAGGATAGGACCCTTTAACTCTTCTGGGCCTAGCCCTTATGGCTCCCAATACCTTGTATATATAGTCCTCCTTTTAGCACCCTACATAGTTCTTCACTTGTAGATTCTAAGTACACAATCGGAGTCCTGTTTATACCCTTTTGGTCACATTCTTATATCTTCTTTTAAGTAAAAGAGTATATCTAGTAATAGTAATACTCGAGTACTAGTAGTACTCCTAGAAGTATAGAATTTAGCTTAATAAATTGAAGCTTTCTCGAACTCGTATTATTTTTTGTGATTTCTTAGTCTTCATTTCATTTTCTTTAGTTTTTCTAATATAATTTTTCTTAACCCGAACTTATCAAGTATCTTACCCCGCCCCTCCCCTCTTCTAATTACTCGAGTAGATCTTGATTGCAGTGCGGCTTCTTATCCTCACTTAGTTTAATACTTATTTATAGATATCTATTATGATCTATCGTCGTTCATTCTCCTATTAAAGTTCTATCACCATTAGCATTACTTGATCTTATATTACAGTCTTTCTAATCAGTCGATCCTCCGAGTAATCTATTCTCTAATAATCAAAAAACCATTCAATAATATACAAGTAGCAACTACAACATTTGATATTCGCGGACTGGGGCTGTGGTGGTGGCTGTGGTTGATGGGATGACGACTACCACATTACTCGAGTATTTGTACTAATTTATTTTATATAGTAGTTCAAGATTTGATGACGCTATAGCGATCTAGTGGGATTGTGGCTGAGACACCGGTATGCCTAGGCCCCAGTGGTTTGTTTATACTCACTCGTACATGGATTGGTTTTAGCGAATTGCGTAAGGAAGGGTTTGAAGGGTTTGAAGGAAAACTAAGTGCGGGGATCACGGTTATAGCCTCTTGGAAATTTTTATGCTTATTGATATTTGACTTTTAATTTCACTACAACTTCACTTTGACTTCACTTCGTTTTTTGTTATTATCGCTTTTGATATCAATCTTGACTTACTTGACTTTTATAGATAGACATCTATCTTCATTTGTATAATATAGTAGTATATATATATATATCTACTTGTACTAAACTCATCTCTCTTCAAATCCATGTATATATTTATGAAAACCAATTTTATACTTAGATAAATCCGATTGAACTAATATGCATTACCGGTTTCCTTTCCTTGTTACCAAGTCGCTTTTGCCACTCCACAGCCTCAATGTTTCAGATTACCCCTGTTATCCCCGTACTTTTTCTTTTAGTGAGGACTTGGACTTACCGATTTTATAGTACTTTGAGATCTTTGAATCTTGCTTGGACTTTGTTTTGTTGATTACCGGTACCTAGGAAAGTTGATATATTATGTCATTTTTCATTTCCAGTGAGAAGAAAAGAGAAGAGAAGTTTCAACTTGTATGATATCGGATTATCAAGAACAGGATATTAGAATTGGACCAAGCGGGTTGTCTCGCTCGGTGATTCACTCTTCTTTGCTGGTAGATACCTAGATAATAGACAAGTACCAGTCCGGTATTGAATTAGAAACATCAATGCTGTCATAGCATATGAATATCCTTCGTATAAAAACTTGTAACTACTACTTACCTAAACAATACTACTACTATACTACTCCAGACTAACAGCCATTAAAAACACAAGCTAGAATAAAAAGAACTATTCAACCGATTCAACCGTCCAAACGCTTAATTATTCGATCAAATCACATTATCACACTCACTGTACCTGAGCTAAAAACTTGGAGTAAAAACTAGAAAAACTAGGAAGGAAAACCAGGGGATAAGCGTAACACCGCAGTGACATGACGTGAATATTAGATCATAAAAACCAATTTGAACCAATCAAATTCACTACAAGGTGATGATGAATCCAATAAGTAAGTCACTTAACTTGGAAGTGACGATGGACGATGCGGGTGCGGGTGCTGGGTGCGCTAGTACACGGGAAGTTCTGTTTGTTTGTAGTACCTGGAGGGCTGGCTGGCTATATAAAGAATTGTCTTCCTGTTTGTCGGACTTCTTCTTTTTCTTTTTTCTATTCTCAACCTCCTCTTCTCTGCAACAAGAACAGTAACTTACAATTTTAAATAATCAACTTCTTCTTCTTCACTTGATACTCGAAAGTCTTTATCCATTACATTACAACTTCATAAGTTGTTTAAATCAAATCAGGTCAAATCATCAAATCAAAACCAATCAATCGCAAACATGCAATTCAAGAACATTATCGTTTTGGCTTTGGCTGGTGGTGTTATGGTATGTTATTCCACTCTAACTTCAACGTTTTTGAATAAGTATCTACGTTAGCAATACAGATACTAACACATCATGTTTTTTAGGGACAAGCCTCCTCCATCATCTCATCCCTCTCCTCTGAAGCCAGCAGCGTAATCGGCTCAGCCACCTCATCCTCCTTGAGCTCCTCCTCCTCCGCCGCCTCATCTGCATCCACCTCCTCCGAGTCCTCTGCCTCATCCGCCTCCGGCGTCGCATCCACCATTTCCTCCGTCCAATCCTCCGTTTCATCCGCTGCATCCTCTGTCCAATCCTCGATCAATTCCGCCCAAGCATCTGCTGAATCTTCTCTCTCAGCTGCCCATGCTTCCGCTGCTACTCTCACCGGTTCAGCCGCTTCCTCTGCTTCTTCCTCCCTCGCATCCGTCTCTTCTTCTCTCGCTTCAAGCTTGAGCTCCAAGACTTCCTCCTTGTCTTCTTCTGCTAGCAGCAAGGCTTCCTCTGCAGGTTCCATCGTCACTACTACCAATTCGGCGGGTGAGACGGTCACTTCTACATCTACCGGTGGAGCTGCCATGCAAACTGGTGCAATGGGTGCCGCTGCTCTTTTCGGTGGTGCCGCCATGTTCGCTGCTGCTTTGTAAATAGATTGAATAGTTTCTCTTTCTTTCTAAAAGTGGCATAACATAGCGAAACGGCATGGATGGATGCATGATCATTCGAAGTGGGAATCTACGACGAATGATGATGGATCGGAATGTGTAACTGATGATCGTAATGATGATGGCTGGGAATGGGAATTGCGAATGGGCTTTGTACTTAGTTGCATTGCATTGCACTGCGAATTAATACCACTACATGAACATATCCGTTATCTTCATTACTTGGTGACTTATATGTGTGACCTCCAGCACCATGTAAACTCGATATCTTGAATCAATGTCAGTAGAAATTGATATTTACCTTTCAATTAGTCTGCCTTCCACGTCCACGTCAGCCAGCGGCCTTGCGAAACTTCACATCACTTCAGTTAGTTAACTTCAACTGATTGACTGACTGATTAGGTTATCATATTATCAATTTATCAAGGGGGCAAGCCCCCAAACCCCCATAGCTCGCTGCGCTCGAAGCTTTCTTTCTTTGCTTTCCTTCTGTCCCATCCTTTCATCTTCCCATCCATCCTCCCAAATTCCATTCATCCATCCATCCATAATATTCTGCCTCCACGGCAGTGGCTCCCAGAGGGCCAGCGGAGCGTCATCAGGCTTGTCTCATTTCCCATTCTCGAGGTTCAAAATCACATTTCAAAATCACATCTCAAAATCTTCAAGTTCCTCAAGAGTCAAGACCCCGAGGATACAAAAACATATAATCATTTCATTTCGTTTCATTTAAATTGATTTCCATTCCATTGCGTTCCGTTTTATTTCATTCAATTATTAGATTGATAAGGAGCAATACCCTTTTTAATTTCATAAACGATTTCCGCAGCTTCATCTGCACTCTTGGCTTCGAAATCGTAGCGTTTTTCTTCTCGGGATTTGTAGACTATGAGCTGTGTTTGTTGTGATAAAATTCGTGGTTAGTTTTTGATGAGTTGATTTGATGGAAAGGAAATGAAATGTAACAGATAGGAAGAAGAGTGGGAGGAACAGAGAGTACATTGTACAACCCAACATACCTTAAAATTTGTCGGGTGTCTGCGTGTAACTTTACAACCCACCACATTACTAAAATGAACCGTAGTTGTCTTGCCCTGACCCTCAAACATGGTTTTGCCGGTAGAAGCCGGGAGGACATGTAAATATTCCCCATCGATAGCAATGACCCTCTCATTCATGCCTACAAATCTCATGGGTTGTTTTCTCCATACCGTATATCTGCGATAATTGGCACTTCCAAGTTCATCCTGTTTAACGCTTTCCATCAGAGGATGTGGGACTAGCATTTGATTTCCCTTGCGAGTTTTGCGTGGGTCGGGTCGATCGACCATTAGGGAATTGGGTGTGCTACTTGATGGTGAACCCGTCATGGTTAATGGTCCATCGGTGGCAAAGCGTCGTCTGTACAAATCTAATTCTGATGAATTACCTATTGATCCAACAGTGCGATCAAGATAGACAACAGTTCCAGATCCTGTAAGTTTGAGGACATGACCTGCTTTGTCTAATTGTCTCTTCTTACAGACAGTATCGAGAACATCGGCCAAGTAAGTATCGGTAGTGACCTCTAGAGCGACCATTTGTCCAGGTGTAGCATTGATCGAGTGTATGTTAATACTCAATATCTTTTTAGTACCACCACCTCGTGGAGTGGGCTGTGTAAGAGCTGTCCCAATCGTAGGTGCATCTGCCAGTGTGGAATTCTTTCGTAACGCAGTCATCGTTGTAAGTAAAGGATTCTGATGAGGTTGTGTGCCGAGAGGAAATGAGGTATTAGGCTTTGGTGTATTGATAGGAGTGAACTCTTCTTCCGTTTCAGATGAGGCAACATCCTCTTGTTTGAATTGAGGAGTAAGTTTCTGATTTTCTTCGAATTGTTCATCAGTCGCTGCAACCAAAGCAAATTCATCAAAAGGTTTGGAATTCGATCTTGATCTAGCTGCAGCTCGATTGTTGGCGAATGTAAATGAAGTGACTGGTTTAAGGCGATCGAGAGGAGGAAAGTCAGTGTCTACCTCCCCATCATCAACCATCCGTAGAATCCATCGATTAACATTCAACTTCTCGGGGGCTATTGTAGGTTCTAACTTTTCCTCAAAATACCTCCATAGACTCAAACCGATCAGATCAGTGATAACTACTGGTCGATTGTGTGTTTCGTCTTCATGAACAGTTCTCCTGATCAGAACCTCGTAAGGCTTTGTCGTTGAAGTAGCAAATGGTGCCAATATACGAATATTGATAGGATTGGGATCTCCCTGTCCAGAAAGCGAAGCAAAAGTTTCGAATGGCATGGCAGCTTTCGTTCGCTTAGACATAATCATTGCTGTCAATAAGCTTTTAGGTTGTATCATACTAATAGGACGAGGAGGTGGTAGGGCTTGAAGTACTGGAGGTGCGGGCTTTGATCTCTTTGTTGGTGATCGTATAAGTTCTCGAGGTATAGTATTGCCAACATGCTGTGGTGCGGCAGTCATGGGTCCATCAACACTATCTAATATAGATGCGCTGTCGATACTACCACCAAATGCGGAAGACATGTCTGATCCTGAATCCTCATCTTCTTCCTCTTCCTCTAAGAGATCACTTACTTGTCTCTTTACACCGAGATCGGGATCCGGGATATGCGTTCGAACCGTTCTACCGGCTCTGGCAGTATTCCTATTTGATTCCCTCTGTCTTTGAAATGCAGATGCATCAAACTCATTATCAGAGGACATCTCACTACTTGTAACCGTATCTCTCCTTGCTCGTTCTTTCACAACCTCTACGGCAGATTGAGAACCTCTTCTTATGCCTGGTCCAGTGGTACGTGTGGGAGAACTTGCAGTAGTAGATTGTCGAAGATTGGATCCACGAATGGGGGAAGAACCGGAACGATTTCGTATAGGCATTTTAGAGAATTTTATTTGTTGGGCTGCCCTTTGATCTCCATCATCATCACTATCATCACTCAAATCACTACTATCTTCCTCCTCCATTTGTTCTCGCCTGCGCCTCCTTTTCGTAGCAATTCCTGGTCCAACCGTATCCCCTGCCCCTCCTGTGAGCAAACCTCCTTCTTCAACTTCATCCTCGAGACCAGAAGGTGCCAGACCAGCTGATCTAGGTGGTGCTTGAAAATATTCAGACGCTATAGCTGTTGGTATTGGCGGGGAATGTGTTCGTTTTATATTCGCGGCATTCGTGCGCCATCCAGCGGCTTTGAACCCAGGAGTATTTAGAAAGCTATCGTTAATCGTTATGAGACGTTCACCAACACCATCTGCGATTGTATTCAAATAATTTGATCTCAACTGATAAGAGACAAGACTTGTGTAACGGGTCAGCTTGAGACTTGAGATTAGGAAAGGGAAGCGTTGGGAAATCTCACTCTTCTACTTGAATGACCGACATAGTAAAAATAGAATGTGAATAATGTAAAGGAATGATCACCGGCTAGTAAATATGAAAGAAGATTAGGGAAGTTCAATTGGTCAAGTCATTGTCAAGCTTCAAGTTCGATTTCACTCATGATGAATGAAGTTGCGATACATTCATTATCAATGCTCAGCCTTACAGTATCTGGGGTACGCTAAAATTAGCGCCCATTCGCTTTTCATCAGGCTGTTGTGGTAATAGCCTTTTCATCAAATCTCACAAGCCATTTCAAATAAAATCATCAAACATCACCGCAACAATGGGTCTCGTCGATTATTCAGATTCGGACGATTCAGATGTTCCAGAGACTATTGCGCTAAAGCCTTCAATATCAACATCTTCAACAGGCAAACCAGCATTTCAAAAGGTTGTCGATAGATCAAATCCTGGTAAAATTCGAGTTTCATTACCACAAGCATCTTTAAAGGACGATCCCAAAACCGACGAGCCACCAACAAAGCGCGTCAAAACTGGTGGTGGAGCTTTCAGTGGATTTAATTCATTTTTACCAGCTCCAAAAAGAACAGGACAACCTACAAATGCGACACTAGGTGGTGGAAATGCGGCACGAAAGAGTGGTTTGGGAGCTGGAGTTAGTTTGAAGACTGGAGCGGCTCCTGCTTTTAGTAGAGAACCGGAACCAGAGAGAGAATCCACAGGATATGAGCCTACAGAAGACGAAGAAGCAGCTACTGGACATGGGATGAATTTACCCACACCAAATTCATTGATTGATGAACAGAAACCAGCAGATGAGGTCAAATTAGTGGGAAAACCATTAATGTTCAGACCATTATCCGTCGCAAGGAAACCAGCAAAAAAGAAGCTTCAAACATCGAACTCAAATACATCTACACCCTCTAATTTAACACCACAAACCAGTACACCAGCCACTCCACAACAAACTGGGAAAGCATCAGCGCCGAGACCAAAAGTATCATTATTCTCCCTCGAAGTAGAATCAGTCAACACAACTCCAAACCCAACTTCCAATGGAGAATACAAACCAATGCTATACCAACCCACCTACGAAGACTCCACTCCCACCACGACGCACACCCTCCCCTTCGTACCCACCCCTCCCGTGAACCTGCACAGTAACACCGAATCCCTCTCCTCCATAGCCGACACTCTGCACCTCTCCGCGGCCGAACGCCGCCAACTATTCGGTCGTCAAAAAGCTGGTGCCGCGCAAGCCGCTACCAAAATCATCAACTTCAACACGGATCAAGAATACGCACATAATAATGAACTACGCGCAGCAGGTGAACAGGTAGTACATAATCCGGTCAGGGCTATTGCGCCGGGTAAACATAGTTTGAAACAGCTTGTTGGGGCGGCACAGAGTCAGAGGGATGCGTTGGAGGAGAGTTTTGCGACGGGCAGGAATAATAGGAAAGAGGCGGGGAGTAAATATGGGTGGTAGATTGGGGATTTGGGGTTTGCGGTTTGGGTGGGTTGGGTTGGGATTAATTGGTTTGGTAAGGAGTGAGAGAGGAAAGGGGAGTAAGGGAGAGGATATAGGTTACGGTGGAAATGTAATTGAAATATGAAAGCTTTTAATATCTATAAATTTTATTCACAGATCTTTATTTCTTGATTATACACATAAATACAACCGATCACTCATACAATAAAACAACATCCCGGTTCCTCTTCTCTCTTCTCTAACACGTGCTTATTGTGGTGATAGACGTTGAAGATGTAGATATGAATATGGACATAGATATAGAGCAAATATATAATATAGAAGTAATTGTATATACAGATGAAATTCCCACGCCCAGAGTGTCGACACACCCATCCAAGGTGGACTCCCAAAATCAAACCAAACAAACTCCGCCCCGATCACAGCTCTTGTTCTCGGGACATGGACATAGCCATAGCCATGATAATTTTCAAATCCTCGCTCGCTTCCCCTTAATACCCTGCCAAACCAAACCAAACCATCCAAGAAAAATGCGCCTCAAAAGCGAAATTCTAGACTACCTAACAATCCACCTCAACAATCGTAAGGGTTCTCTCCCCCCTCATCAAACTCTCCCACTCCCCTCTCGTCCCCGGACTCACACCACTCGCCGCATTCGGCGTTAGCGCGCCTCTAAAAAACGGGCCCCTATCCTCATTCTCATTCTCATTCTCCGCATCCCCCCTCTCCCAAACCGGACTTTCCCCATCTCTCCCCTTAGCACTCTCTCCCACCTCCACCAAACCCTCCTCAACCATCCCCCCCTCAAACGACGTCTTCAACAACGATAAACTTCTGACTTCCTCGCGAGAAATACCCCCTTCTCTCATTGTTCCTCCATAAGCTTTCTTATACCCCTCATCCACATCATACAGTGCACTTAGCGAAATCCCCAACCACTCATAACATCTCAACACCTCCGCTCTGCCAACCTTCTTCCCATCGCGCATCAATACTAATCGTCTCAACTCATCAATCGCACTCAGCATATCTTCCGTCTTCAAGCTTCGCGAATAGGTATGTAAGGCGCATTTAAATGTATACAAGTAATCGAGAGTATAAAGAGATAAGCCCGAGGATGTAAACACAAGTCTGTTTTGAGCAAGAGATCTGCGGATTAAATCTTTAGTTCCAACATCCTCAATTGGTTTCGTAAGCGATGTCTCGCTCAGCCAATCTCCTCCGATCCCAGGGAATTTCCTCTCGGCGCGGGAAATTGTAGCTCGTAATATGCGTGCAGCGCGCGGTGTCAAGGAGGTGGAATGCATCAGTTTGATTCCGTATCGGTTGGGTGTATCAGGCGATGTCCATTCTGCAGTTGGGGTGCAAGGTGTTGAGGGAGGAGAGATGGAGGTTCGGATGTGGTGGGCCATGGTGTCTTTGGGTGAGGAGGGCAGTCCAGAATATTTTGTGCGCGAGAGGTAGATGGTTGAAGTGGAGAGGGTGGATGTTGTGGTAGAATTTGAGCGTTCGGATGGGGAATTGGAGAAGAGAGTATTGGTTGGACTTGAGGCGCGAGAACTCAGTGGAGAAATGCTTCGACTCGTGGGTGAGATGTCGCGGGTATGAGATGTAAGTGGTGCGTTATTGTAAAGAAGTGTCGTGGGCGATGTAGTGAGAGAGTGAGAACCAGGTGCTGTGGTAGTTTGGGAAATAATGGGACTTTGAATCTGATTGTCCTTTTTGACGACAATTAATGATAGATGAAGTCTCTTTCGCACTAAACGTTTCGATACATAATCGAGAGCTTCGAGTAATTCGGATGGTAGTTGCATTGGTTGAAGCAATGATGTGCCTGCTTCCAATGGAGAAGATATGATATTCTTTGAGATAGGCATCTTGATGACAGGGGAACAAATATACAGGAGATAGATGATATCGAAAAACAAATGATTTTTTATCTTTATCCTCAATATCAAAAGCTGAAGCCGATGAAGAGTTACTTAACTCGGGGTTCCAGCCAACATATATACAAATGAGAAGTATCAAAATAGGCAACTAACATGGTACACAAGGCAAATCGCACAAGGGAATAGGAGCTACTCGACGATCATTTAGTCCATTGTGGATACCAGTGTTTCCTAAAATACAATGTTGCATGTCGTTTAATTTTAACCGATGAGAGGAAGTTATTTTTGGAGGTTGATAAATTACTATCCAAAGCGCAAAAATAGATAAGCTCACACCTTTCTAGCCGCCATGGACTGTACAAGGTTAGCATTTAGTATTATCGAGCCGTAGATTTATCAAAGTCACTCCAAGATGAACTTCCCGGGCGCCTAGGTATATATATCTGTGCAACCCCTAACGTACTTGAGTTATTTTCGGATGTGATGAACTAGTTTCTCCTTTTCAAATATAGAAACAATTTACCCCGCGTCTGTCTACGAGTAGTGCTTCTGGCGTTTATCTCCTTATATCACTAAGATCGACTCAAACAGGAAATCTCCCGATTATATGCAAATCATTACTCTTATCTCTTTCTCGATCAGTTATTGGGATGGATTTCTCAATATCACATCTCGAAACCTTGCATATCACATATCACATATTTACACTCAATACGTTCTTATTACTATTTCCTTATAGTAACCATCTACAAGTACCAATAATAAAACCTACCATACACTCCCATAATTCTGTTTCAATCTAATCTACATCTCCACCTCCCGATCCATCTACATCTAATCTAATCTAATCTACATCTCAACCTCCCTATCCCTAATCGTAGGCCTACTAGCCCCCCACTTAGCCCACCCACCTACCTCACCACACAACCACCCTCAAAGAGATTATCCCTATCCCTTGTCCCTATCCATATCCATATCCATCTCCATAACTATATCTATCTCCCACCCACATCACATCTAAAACATTAAATTAAATTGAATCTAGATCTTTAGATCTTTTAATCTTTTAGCCTTCTAGCCTTCTAGATCTTCTACTCTTCTACTCTTCTAATCTCTTAACTCTTTAACCCTCTACGCATATAAACCACATCACATCACACCAGCTACACCACCTCAACCACAAACCACAAGACCACAAACCCCAAAACCACAAACCCAACCCTCCCCTTCCCTCCCTTCTCCTTCCCTCTCTTCCCCTCCCTCTCCCTCTCCTCCCCTCTCCCCGCAACACAATACAACATAACATTCCCTCCCAATATTCCTTCCAATGTTCCTTCCAATAATCCTTCCAATACCAACACCAAACCAACACCACTCACTCACACGTACCGCTATACCGCCATACCACCGTCCCAATACATTCAACACAAAGCACAAAAGACGAAACACAAATAAACACATAAACATAACAATATACAATAGATATGGTATAAACGATATAAACCAGTAGAGTAGTATATATATCAACATTATTTATTATATTAGCATTATATTAGTAATAGTAATAATCTACAGTATTCAGTACTAGAGTAGAACAAGTAGAACAATACAACATAATCCATCAACCCATCAACTATTCTATCAACATCACTTACCAGAGCCAGCCGCACCTCGAAACTAACATTACCAATACTTAAATATCACACAACACTCAACACAAAGAACCATTCAATCCAAAGTAATTTAAAGAGAGACATACACACTTGCACTTAAGACTTGCACTCAAGAATGACATATAGATATTAACCAATAATATAATATTCACAGCCTTCCTCCTTCCTCAAGGCATAATGTTTCATCGCTCGCAAGTAATATTTTTCCCTTCCCTTCCCTTCCTCATCACTGCACTCAGCTGACTAAGTAATCCCTCTTTCCACCCTATCATCATACTATCATAATTGCTTCTCTCCTCTCCTATCATACTTTCTATCATCTCTGCACTTTCAATTCCCCCCCTTGAAAATCATCTCCGTAGGACTTCACAACGCCATTCATCATCTAATCATTCATTCCACCCATCCGCCCATAAGATGAAAAAAAACTATAATCACAGGGGAGAAAGAAAAACACAAAAAGAAATCATGAGTGATTTATCCCATTCACCGCATCAACTCCATCCATTCCAACCAGACCCAACCAGACTTAACCCATTCCAATTCCCATTCCCAATTCCTAAGGTTCATAACCAAACCGCTATTGATCCGGATGCATTTCATCATCAAAAGTAGCAAAAGTCATTCCCCAGTATCCCTTAGTTATAGGTCTCCGAAATATATTGCGCCAGATGTAACGCCTGTTTGTTCGACTGGCATTTCACATTCGATTCATTCGGCCATTATGTGAGCCCAGTCATTGATCACACCTGATACGCCAGTGTAGATTAAATAATCTGGAAAGCTCCGAGTGCTTGTAATCAAAAAAAGGGAAAAAAGGTGTAATCGAAGGTCGTATCACAAAAAGTCATTTAGACGATGAGATTAGAGCTGTACCTCCAATTCGCTATCCATAGGCTCGCAAAGTTCCGTTATGCTGTCGATAGGTTCATCAGAGCCATAATCATCATCGGAATTACCCCATTCTATAATCTGGTTAGTATGTTCAAGGTGGTCTAGGGCGCGATATCTTACCAGAGGCTTCCTCGTCTGCTTCATCAACCATATATCTTCTCAAGTCTTTCCAGACAGCTAAAATTTGTCAGTTATTTTGGTTTCCAATAGACATGATATTGACTCACATTCTACTTTCTGTTTGTATGCATCGGCTGCTTGTCCGGGCTCAAAATATTGAAGGCAAAGACCAATAACATGCTCGATGTTAATCATAATTGTCCTCACGGGTTGCACTCGTTGTCGTATATAGACTTCATGTAGATAATCTAAACAAGCGTGGCCTAGCTTTTGAGACATTTTTATCCTGCTTAACGCCAGGTCCATTTCGCCCCCTGGTGCAGTATTGTCCACCTCGATACCCATATTAAAGATGATTTCTCCAAGGAACTCTTCAGTATCAGATCTGACAGAACTTTCAAAATGAGTGAGAAGTAGAGGGACCCAATGAGAAGTTGTATGTAAGACAACACTCGTGATATCTTCCCGAGAAACGTCGTTGTGATTGCTCTGCAGATTGATGAGATCTCTGAAGAAGCGAAGATATTCTGATCCCTCGTTATGTTCAATGTGGACCGAAGCCTTAGCAATATGAGTAGCAATTTCCAGAATCGCTTGCGGATTTTCTGAATGCTCGCAATACAATACCGCCGCTCTCAAAAACGGACTCCAGGATAATGAGGTGTTTCTTCTGATGCCGTGAGTGATTGCACAATACACATATTGGTCAAGATGGTTCTGATCCGGAAAATGTAAGATCCTGGCCATGATTGATTTCGTTGCGTGCTGGTTCTGATTAATTATGAGAAGCTTCTCAGTAAGGACATGGGCGTTGGTCCTCGTCCAGTGGCAATCTATTCTCTGTCTTTCTTCCCATGTGAAGGGTATGCTATGACCACCAAGGAATAGCTGTAGGCGGGAATCAGATTGGTTAGTTTCAGGAACCGCCGGGTCGCAAGTTAAGATAAGTCGGGATAAGAGGTCGATGATGCTATCATAAGAGACCTGTCTTGCTGTCGAATTCTTCTTGGCAATAAATGTAAGCATCCGCATTATTTGAGGGCTATGAGTGTCAATAGGATCTGCACAGATGATATCTAAAGTTTTCATGAGAAATCCCGAGTCGAGAATGAATGCTGCTTCATCATTCCCAATGTTGGCGATGCTGGCGAGCAAGCCGAAGTATTCAGGCCAAGCTCTTAGACTATTATGAAAATTTTCATATAGTCGAGTTAAGGCACCAACCACTTCTTGAAGCAAATTCGGCTCTCCGGGCTTAACGATCCCACCTTTAGCAAGACCGTATGCATAAGCAATCCCATTTTTAACCGCCATCAACGCTCCGAGGACTAAAATACCTACCTCTGAACGGACCATGGTTTCAGGACATCTCAGAAGCAAGAAACGGAAAGAATCAGTGCATCTACAGAGAAAGTCAAGAAAGTCGCGGCTGCACTCTCCGCAATGTTGACATTGTACTCGCAAAGTATTTACGAATATTCCAATGTCTGGGACATCTTTTGAACGTGCGACAACTTGGTCCAGATGAGACATTGCAACCCACATGGCCTGTTTTTCAAGATCGTGCGAATCTGAGCAGATCCCACTGTTCTTAATCTTGTTCAAGTGCCTTGTGTTTTCAAAAATATTCCGAACGAAAAGAGCATGGGCAGGATCGTAGAGACAGTATTTGCGCATTACAAGCTCGTTCTCCATAGTTATGTGATTTGCCTGTGGCCGATTGACGGCTACCTTTAATGGATTTGCGTTCTTCTTTTTCGCCACTTCTTCCTTTGTGACGGTCAACGTTGAAGAACGTTGGTAAAACAGCATATAGGCACTATAATTCTTTTCGAACTGCAGGGGGTTCTCAACAGTCCCAGGTTCAAGGCCACCGTAGCAGGCTGCCTCCATGAAAACTGGATCCCAAGAAGTCACGTTCTCATCGTTGAACTCCACCCAATTCCCTTTGCCATCAACTTGTGGCCGCTCTCGGATGAAAGAATAGTAATGGCCGGATTCTGCTGTTCCAGAGTGGACAAGAACACCAACAAGCTCAAAAATATCCTCTTCAACTTCGCCTGATTCATTCATGAGGTATTCAACCTTATAAGGCCGCATATCGATCGATGATGGAAATGCGAAGTGGTCGTTGATCTTATTTCGTGTGAGTGTGCGAAGATTAAAATCGAATCTTTTCAAATGAAAGATTAAATTGTCCGGCACATCCTTAAGACACGCTCGTTTGACTGCATCAACATGACGATTGCAAGTCTCGCATTTGTATTTGTTATCGCCTTCCATGGCCTCGCCTTCGACATAAGCCTGCAGACTTTCTTCGAGTGACTTTTTCCCCTTGATATCACATTGGATGGCGGAGAAGTCCTCTACTCTCCCTGATATATGAGGGCACTCTTTAGACTTGACTTGCTGTACCAATTTGCCTCCATAAAATGAACGGACTTTGCGCTTGTCATCGTCTGTTAATTTTTCACGCTCCAAACGGTCGAAGAGCAGATTGTAAAATTCGTCAACATCCATTTGAACGGTGACATCGAGCTCAAGCTCTTCATAAGTTGGGATAGCCGTAGCAAAATTGGTTGGGTCGACAAATCTTCTCATGCTGTTTTGCATGAAAGAAAATAGTTGTTGAGTCTCAAGCAGGAGCTTTTGTGATCCAGGAACAGCGATATGCGAGTTGAAAATGAATTCCCTAAACGACACATTCATGAATAGTTGTGTCGTCAAAGAGTTGAGGTAGCACGTATTAGAAAGATTCTTCAGACCAACATAGCCGGTTGGCGATCTGATATACTTCGATCTTTCAAAGCTCACTGACATTTCCAAAAGATAAGGATTATCGGATCTTGAATCATAAGGAATGGTATCTGACAGTAATTGCAATACTTCTTTATACTGGGTAGTATCGTCCTTGACTAGAGCCAATACCGTCTCTCCCATGGCATTCCGGTTTCTAGAATTTATCACTGGGATTTTTTGGGCAATGAGTCCATCTATTCCAATATCCTCCTCGGTTGAGAGAGTGGGAAACAAATGTCTCTTGAAAAGCTCAACTGCAAGATCCCCGCAGGACAGTTTTTGTTCGGATTGTTTCATGGTAGTTACAGCATGATGCAATAAGTTGATTAACCCTTGGGTGACCATATCAACAGTTTCAGGTAGCCCGACGTCTTCGTAGTTCTTGTGGTTGAGGAGTAGATTGCCCCATTCCTGAGCGACTGTGTTGAGATCTAAATCGACCGTTGTTTCTAAAACTCTTTTGAACATCGTCAGTGCAAGTAGGAACGTCTCCTCGCACTGTTTGGGTCTCTCGGCAGCCTCGGGTATCAAATTGGCTAATGTCGGCCATAATGTAACAGCAACCTCCGATGTGGAAACACAAGTCGAATTAGGGTTAAAGGTACATTTACCCGTGATGGATTTCAAAATGGCTTTTCTGACGAATGGGCGAGGATCTTCTAAGAGAAGATCCTTTAGGAGAGTGCTGTCCTTGAGATGGCGAACAAAGGTACTCCATAAAGCAGAGTTTTGAGTGGCAACTTCAAGTAAAGCTTCAACACTTGTCCATATCAAATGAACCGAGGTTTCTGTAGTCGTTACTAATTTGGCAGCGTATAGTAAATCTAGGAGACGTCTCAAAAGCTTGTCGTCAATGCCGACCGTCGATGATGGAGGTAGAGAGGGGTCTATGAAGAATTAGCTACTGAATTCTCGAGGGAATAATTTATCAATACCCTTAAGAAGTGATGCCAAGCTGCTGACAAAATGCATGGCTAGAGTTTGTCTAATTGCTTGCGGCGCACAATTTCCAAGGAATTTCGGATCGGAGATCGCAGCAATGAGTAAAATTATCGCTCGATTGAAAACAGTCTCATCCACGGATCCCTGCTTGGGTTAGTTGAGAATTTTGGAGAGGGAGTGGATTGCAAACCTTTAGAGACTGAGAGGAAATATACTGCTTCAATCCATACAGCCCATACAAAGCTTTGTATGGTTGCCCGAGCGGAAATATTTCGGTATAGGGGACAGTAGAATTGCCAAGATCCTGCAGAACTCTGTCATAGACGGGAAATTGAATGAGAAATGAGTAAATCTGAAATGATTGTTAGGAATCGAAACGGCCCATTAAATGTCAATTATACATACCTTTTCTGCCAAATTTTCTTGCATGCCAAGATAGCTCCAAAGTTGATCGAACTTCTTTGTAATCTCCAATTGGAGGGGACCATTGTTGCTTAGCAATGGAGGGTCTCCATCATCACGGCGCTTGACAAGGACAAGTCCATTCAGATTGAGATCTTCCACAGACTTACACAATTCGGTCTCATCGTGTTTGAACTCCTTTCCACTGTAAAATACTCTGCAAGAAGTGAAATCCGTTTCCCTCTGCAATTTTGCAACTAATGTAGCAGCTGTGTCTAACGCGCCTATGGTAAGCTCCTTTATAGACGACGTAGTTTCATCAAATACTTGATACCGGATCTTGATAGCAGCGCCCTGTACAGCATCTGATGGGATAGTGACAGCGGATCGCAACTTTCGGGTGGCAAAGTGGTTGTTGCTTGAATAAGCCGTGAGGAATGCTTGCAAAGCTGCAAGTGATCGAGTGAAAAGCAGGTCCTGTACGTGAATTTGAGACTCCGGTATCACCATGACCATATCATCATCCTCTCCACTGGCTCGATCATCACCAGCAGTCTTCAATTTGCCTGCAGCATCTGCGAGGTTGCCCAAGCATCGCGTGAGAAATGCTAGATGTAACTCTCGTGCCTTGAGGAGAGGTAACTTTTCGATGAAGGGGCCCACGTAAACACCCACAAGTTCTTGAATGGCCATTTCATAGACTGGTCCTTGGGGGGCGCTCCCGATTATTCGCCATAACTGCTCCATGGCGAGAAAGTCGAACGACAAATCTAGCTTAACATTCTCGTTTTCGGGGGACTCATCTTCTTTCTCCTTTAGCCAGAAATAGATCCCGCTCTTCACAAATAGCAAGGTACCTTCCAAAAAGTAAATAGGTTCCAGTCTTGGCAGATAGTTCTGAAAGCAAATGGCAAGGTATCTGTTGGTAAACTTTTGTTTCTGGAAAGCCTTGTTCAAGATTTGCCAGCCTGCTACGCGATCGGCGGTATCGTTTGATTGGGCTCCCACCAACAAATTCCAAAGTCGTGTCCCTAGTTCGGTATTGATCGTGTCGGCCTCCACCAAAATGATTTGTAGCAAGATTTCGCGACGAGCAATATTGGTAGGGCTATCATAAGCGAGAGAGCGGTTTTTAGCTATACTCAATTCCAATTCATCGACCATTAATCTTGTAAGGCCATGTCCAGTGGTAAGAGTGTGAAGATCCGGCAGCAAACTTTGATGAAGTAATGCACTGATGACACATATGCTGCCCGGTGCGGTGGTCGTCATATCAGAGATGTCCTTTATACAACTCAGGTAGATATCTCTGCGGGCTTCCTGACCAGGTCCATGCACAAGCAGTTCACGAAGGTGAGTTGCAGCAAAATTCTGAATCTCAGGATAACCGTTCGGGCAACCATCGCTGGCAATTGATGACTCACGGATCAGCCGGACGCATATGTCATAAGGAGGAGCGTCGAGCTCTCTACGACCCGATTTGTTGGAAATCTCTCTGAAAAGATTTTCGCAAAAATCTCTCATTGCGACAGTAAACGCCTGTATTGGGAGAGCAGCAACCTTCTGACATATGTAGAGACAAGCTGGATACTCGTATAAGCTTAAAACTTTTTTCACCATTCTCAAAATGGCTTCCACAACCCTTGGGTCCTGGCTTGTCATCACAGTCTGCCAGATGGTGTCGGTCTGCTCGTCCTCGTACGACTTCGTAACGACCAAGAAGCCAAGGATGTTGCTGCTCTCATTAATAATTTCGGGGTGAGATCCAATACCGACAATATAGTCAATCAGCTTATGTTGTAATATCAACTTTGCAAAGTGGTGTAGAATTAAACCACCATTGGGGAGTCCTTCTTTTGATCGATAATTACTGTGAAGCATCAAGAGATCTTGGCACATGGTTGTTACGCCAACCACTCGAAGTTGCATCTGAGCTGAAGTGATAAGTTTTTTGAGAACGGAAAACTTCCACTCAAGAGAAATGATCTTGGAGAGGTGTGTGTCTGGAGCATCGGGGTAGGCCTTTCTCTGAATTTCGATTCGATCCTTTGCTACTCGAGGATTGCACGCCATCGAGTGCAATGATATTTGCGCGAGAGAATTAATATGCGTAGCTGCAGCATCCGGAGAGAGAAATGTGACATTTTTCTCAATGATAGACTCCAGCGCTGAAGACATAATAATGAAGAATTCATATCCATGGGTCAACTTCCGGTTTGCGTCGTCAACTTGATGCAGGCCGCCGTGGATACCGTGTGGTAGGTGTCTTTTGAACCCTGCGGCAGCAGAATTTATTTTCTCCACCAATCTTGACGGCTCGGTCAAATTATCAAATAATCTTGGAAGATTGGGTAGAAATCTCAACTGCCCTTCAACGTACTTGGTGAGATTAAAGATCGATGCGCCCCCAGCCTCAAAATAAGATAAAAACTCAGCAGTATCTTCTTCCCACCTCCAGTGATAGTAGTTCTCCACACTTTTTCCAATATGACCTGCCTCCAGATCAACCTTTAGTAGGTGACTATAAGTTGGAAGGTAACGAGGCGCTACGAGATCCGGTGTTGAGTCTGTGTCATACGATAACGTTTTGACATCCATTGCGAGAAAGCTCCCGGATAGTCTGGCGTACTGATAAAGGAATTGGGCTAGAGACTTCGAACGGGGGTCGTTTCTATGCATGAACTGTCCGAAATAACGGCTACGAAAAGTTAGTTTATAACGACGTCTGTGATTGCAAGTACAACTAACGTTCGGAAATTCAATCCCCATATCAACTCTGGAAATGCAAGCCAAAACTCTTTATGCCTAATGAATGCGCCATGCAAGCGATTATCTGAATTGGCGAAGCGGAGAAAATTATCTATCCAATCTCGGAGTTGGACAAATACATCCTCAGTTTCAATGGCTTCTATGATTATTGTTAGAGATGTCCGTTACCTCATGGTTGCGCAGAAATCCTTACCATATTGCAAAATTTGGATAACCCTCTTGAGTGCCTGCATAATATTTTCTCCACGGTGTTGGGAAGGAAAGTGACTTAGAGGATCAGGAAAAACTTCCTCCTCATCGATAATAGCCAGAGTTGGGCTTCGCTCAGGGTTATCAGAACTGACAGGGATGATTTCAACCTCTGGACTTCCTTCCATCACAGAAGGAGAGGAAGAGGGAGATTCGAGAACTGAAGCTGGCACAGTTGATAAGACATCGCTCTCGGATTCAATACTGATTCTGGCACCTTCGTCTTCCTCAGTATTTGTCATTTTCGATGGAGTATTAGGAGAAGCCGGACTGGGGCTGGAGAGGTTCGATTCTATTGGAGGTTGAGGGGTTCGCAGATTAATTGTAACTCGACTGGATGTTCGCTCGACTTGAGAATGCGCCGTCGTAGGTCGTGTTGGAGTGCTTGGTGGGAGAGGATCTTGAAGAACATCTGGGACATCTTTCGGTGACGACATTGAATCGGGCAGAATATCTGAGGCTGGATTTGTATCAACCGACCTGCTTCTTGAATCACTCTTAGAAGTCTTTTGTCTCTTTCTCGCAGAATGTTGTTCGTTATCATCAAATGGAAATGGATGTATCGAACAAGGCTCTGATGAGACCGCACGTTCTGGCGACGACTCTACTGAATCTTGGTCCATTTGGCAGGGTTGAGAAATTGAATGAATATGGTGGAAGCTGTCCAGAACAGCAGGAGCTGTAGGACAGAAAGCTCTCGTAAAGCTTCACACAATGCCCCCCCCCAAGAAAAATCGCATATAGCAACTCAGTTATAGATTATTGAATTGACATTCCCCGCACAGGGTAATGAATTTGGGTGAATGTGTAAATTTACCTAGGTACACCTCCTGTATGACGGAGTGAGAGGGGTAACTTTGTATGACAAAAATGATGAAGTTAATATGGTTTATGCGATTAAGATGCAGGTTTGGAAGCTACACTTATTACACTTTTTCCAGTAGAAATTTGTTGTTGGTAAATTAAAAGGAAAAATAATTGTAAAGAGTGTGAATTACGTAGGTAGTCAATCAATTTGATTGAAGGTATCCGGGAGCGGATGTAACTTGGGTAATCACTAATTGTCGAATGTATTAGAGTAAAAGAATTAAAGGAAAGCTAGGTATCCTAATTGAGCAAATCAATCCTTTTCAAAATAGTGGAAGTAAACTGAATTGAAATGTTCTTCAAGTCTATGAGAAAGTTTGTATGAATGATGGAAAGAAAGTCTTAATGATAGTATTTAGTCTTATCGAAACTTACCTAGTAGTTTTGAGCTCCCTTTGCGCCCCACCATGTTCATTAAAGCAGCGATAGTGAATTGAGGCGACAGCTCTTCATTTTTGATAGGTACTAGTAGGTCACTCATATCTCTATTAATTATAGATAATATAATGAGTAAGGTAAATCGGTATATGAGATTCACTTATAGATATCTAGAGGTTTTATTGTTCAAATTACTTATATAATCAATTAAATCTTTCTTCAACATCATTCATTCATTATCTAGATTGTATGTTAAAGTGACAAGGAGTCTAAGGGTTCACCGCCCGCAATACCTAAGCTTTAGCCTGAGGCACATATACATCACAAGATCAGCAGAAAAACATGCAGTTTCTATCATTGATTTATTTTACCCCTCCAATAGGATTTGTCAATGCTCCTCATCAGCAATCACTACTTTCTCTCCTTTCGGACTAATGTGCTGGAGATTACATCTAGACATAACGTCACATGACCAACTCAATAGGTAGATTACAATACTCAAATACAATAATTATTGAGAAAATATACATCTATCTATTCATAGCTCAACACCGCACAGAAAGAAGAAATAAGAGAGATGGATAACAAGAAAATTAAAACCATCTCTCAGTTGGATACACCATTCACTTCAGTTCAATGGTTGGTGAACCTTCTACACAGACAGCATGATTTCACTTTGAATTGATGCTAATCTGAATTCCTAGGCCAGAAGTATCCTCCAAAGACCAAGAAACCATTGTTGAACTTCTATGCAGGTGTGTGAACATTTTGATACATAAGAAACACTTTGAAATTACATATCAGTCACTTGTTTTTGCTACAAGAATATTCTACCTGAAATCTGCAGTGCCTACCTAGAATATTCGACAGCAATTCTAAGCTAATGATAATGATAATGCAAAAGGCTGATCATCATTCTAGTATATTATCACCTATTGGTGCATATCGTTCCAATCATATTACTCCATCTAAAGGAAAGCGAAGCAGGAAACGCAAGAGAAGGAACTCTAAGCCAGAAGACGAGAAGTCATCAGAGACTCCCCCACCGCCCGAGATTTCTTCCTACATCGTTACAGGGCTCAACAGTATCCATCGAATACTAGAAGGATCCACCAAGAAAGGGTTTGAGACCAAAGAAACTCCCAGTAGTCTCGAAACCGAAACTCGCCCCCAAACCGACCAAATCATCAGTAGCCCCAATCCTCCCAATCCACCCCACCCCCATTTCTCCGCCATCTTCGTCTCGCGCTCCAACCAACCCCCAATTCTCCACGCCCACCTCCCTCAAATCATCGCCACAGCCTCCAAAGCACACCCTACCAAACCATCCACACGATTAGTAGCACTACCCAAAGGATGCGAAACTCGAGTCGCCGCTGCACTCGGTCTACCCAGAGTGGCATTCCTCGGAATTATCGATAATGCACCATATTCTAAGGCTCTGCTCGATATCGTTCGAGACTGTGTGCAGGAGATTGAGATACCGTGGTTGGATGAGGCGAGGAAATCAGAGTATTTAGATACGAAAATCGATTCGATCCAAACGTCGATCGGTGAGGTGAAGTCAAAATGAGGTAGGATAGCATACACGCACGGCGAGGTCGATGTCACAATCTTGTATCTCCGAAGGAAGAGTTCGCACAGCTTCGGCCTATGCGATTGGAAAAGCATAGATCTTTTGCTCCATGAAAATCGGATCCCAAGTATCCATCAAGAGCCAAGAAGTAGCAAAAGGAATAACTTAGCTCTTGAATATAATTCAACGACGATGATGAGGCTGTTTTGAGAGATGAACAGTAAATCAGCTTCATAGGTACCGGTACTCGTTTGGAAATATACACCATGCTCTAGTTTGGAGACATGACAATAGCAAGCACAATGGAACAAGAGAATAGTAAAGAGGACCGCAACGAGAAATTCAATGCATCCTATTCTCTATAGTACTCATACCGCCCCGTGCTTTCTAGCCATTCGTCACTTGTGAATTGCAATCATTCGTTTATTCCTACAGTAGGTATTCATGTGTATCTTCATTTCCTCGCATGCCTGATCCCTTAAGAGCATCACTTAACCTTCCATCCGTTTCAATTTCGATTCAATTCAATTCAGTTCTTTCCCTCCTCTCTATCCCCTGCAAGTATACTCTCCACCTTCTTCACTTTCTCTGCGAAAGGTTGATTTTTATCCGTCCTATTCATTATCGTCAATATCATCCAACCCATCAATATCAATATCAACATCAATATATCCATCCCATACCCCACCCAATCTTCATTCTCCCCCGCCTTCCCCCCATTCCCTCATATCCGGTAAGAAAAGGCATTCCACAAATCAAATCAAATCAAAGCAATACAAGAAAGAAATTGAGACATACCGTGTCCCAGCCCGAATATCGGTCTGCACGCGCAAAACTCCATTTTCATGTACGAGGGTGTGCGCTTGTCCTATGAGGCGCATTACTTGATCCCAGGAGCCTTCTGTGGGGTGAGGGGGGAATGGGTTAGTGTTATGTTATGTTATGTTATTTTGGAATGAGGGATTGGAGGGGGAGGGAAGAGGAAGGTGGGGTTATGGGGTTGTGTGAGAGAGGTGGCAGAGGATTGATGGGATAAATTGATTTGTGTGGATGGATGTGTGTGAAGGGAAGATTTGTATATCAAATTTCAATTTATTCGCTATGTCTGCACTGGCAACATCATATATACTATAATATGACTCCTTGAATTCCTCATTTCGGTACCCCATCCCATCCACCGAACTACAACATTAAAGAAGGAGAAGAAAGTAGAAAACATATACATACCAACAGTAGTCCCCGCCGAATGCATACTATAATTTAACCCGCTAGCTTTCATCAATCGCTGAACAGCAGCAACTTCATTTGATACTGAGGCTGTAGGGGTACCGATCTGTGGTGTGGTGTAGCGGTTAGAATCTTTGAGATACTCGCTGCTCTCTTTTTCTTTGGGGATGGAGATGATACAGGGGTAAAAACAACAAGGGAAGTACAAGGACACAAAAGACTACGCAAAACAAAGTATAAGAAGATTGTAAGAGAGGGAGGAAAGAGAGAAAAGGTTCAAAATACAGGAATCAAACAGAAATCCGCAACGGCTTTGGGGGGTGTAGCTAGATTGGCATAATCGATAGTAGTAGAGGTTGAGGAAGACATGGTTTTGGTTTGGGTCTTGGTTTTGATCAGGGTTGTATGATATATCGATGAAATTGGACTTGGACTTGGAATAGATGGGTTCTTGATAATGTTTTTAGAAAAGCAGAGGTTCGTAGGTGTTGATGAAAGATGAACGAGGTTGAGAACTTGTGGGGGGAGATGTACATAGGTGCGGCACGTGATGAACCGAGGCTGGCAGTCTGGCAATGATTATTTTGCTAAAATTCTAAAAACAAAAACACTACTGGTAGATTCCTGCTTGGGATATGAACTTTACATGTATATACCGGTATATTTTAAGGTTATCGAGGGTTTATTGTATAGGTAAATAATATGTGGTGACACTGGTGATGCATGGAATATACAAAGATACTCGAGTAGATGCGGGGGTATTCTTATCTGGCTGGATGAGATTGTTGATATCACCTTTGTGCTATCAATACTTTTACTGATGAATACCTAGTGCCTATTCTACTACTGGATTATTCTTTATACTCGTAAGTACTCGAGTAATAAGTACATCTCAATGCCTCGTCTCTGGCACTGCATTGTTGAAGATATCTTGTTAATCGTACCGCTAACACTAGACGAGCTTCATAATGCACCTCATTCATCTTTCTGGCGTTTGAAATGATCGTTTTCGATTCGTCTAGATTCAAAATAGTATCTCGATTAACGTCAAAGATCAAACTGAACAATCTACCGTTCATCACATACTTGATACGTACCCCACGAAAGAAAGAATCAGCTTGGAGCAGATGTTGTTTGATGAATTGTGGATTGTCTGGTCTGGTCTGATGTTACCTAGATAAGTTCGACTATGGCAGACTCGGAATCTCGAAATAGAGTGGATAATACAATCTCTTACAATCGTCGATAGGGTCCCTTATAAGTTATAAGATGTGGCATGTGAATGGACAAGGCATACCGGAAATATTGGTAATCGAAGCTCTTTTCATTTGGAAGGTCTGATATACGGTGGAGTGCAGAGTATTAATAAAGTTGAGTTTATTGATCTTCATCGATAGTAATTGTTTCCCGTCTGCTCAGTGCTCACTCGATATTGCAGATGGATCAGGGTTTTCGGGATAGGGGTATATTCCCGGTGGCTTGGGGCTGCAGGCAGATAAGATCAACATCTTCAGCCTTCTTCAACCTCTAGCTTCAAAGTGGACAGCTCAAAGGACAGCTGCATCTTACATTGGTCAATTTATTGAATTGACCTCGTCACCTTTTGAAACCCACGAGGCTGGCGGGCGATTTGTACCCCAGCCAAGGTTAAAAATAGAAATGGCTAGAAAGTTATTCACCAACTTCACGAATTCCAGCCAAGTAGTCTAACATCCTCATTCTCTCTTCACTAACCTCAAACATCAGCAGAAATGATATGACTTACCGATACAGAACAAGCATCACCCAGTGTACCATCGTCGAACCCAAACTTTTATACCGTTTCATGCAGATCTAGAAGAAGTATTGATTGGAAGTTCTCCTTTCTAGCTTTTATTCAAATACGGATGAGATCCACTTTTCCAAGACTCGTAATGTTGTTGGCTTACGACAATTTCAAGAGAGAATTGAAAGAGGTAACGAGGCGCAGTAAATATGAGCGAGTCTTATTACATATATGGGTAATCTATTTATTTTGATCAAAACTTTTCCATACCTTTTGAAGCCTCTTTAACATCTGATTTTTTCACATATCTGTTGTTGAGAACTTCAGTCGTTTCCTCTGTGTCGTTTCCTTTAAGAGTCAACACGTTTCATAATCTTGCCACTCTTGTGCACGAAGGATTCTTAACATTACCTATCGTGATATCGATCCTTTACTCTATCAAATATGCGGCCATTTCTTGCTGCCGCAACGGCGTTTCTTTTTTTGGCTAGTTCTTCGGAGGCCATTCCTCAAAATGGTGGATCTAGTGGTTATGGAGGCCAACAATCATCATCGATAGCTGTTGCAAAATCCAGTTCTGTCCCAGTAACAGAAGCAGCAGTATCAACAAGCACAGTTGCCTGTAACAATTCACCAGAACTATGCAATCGAAATTACAACAACATCACACACATGGGAGCTCACGATTCCGCATTTTTAAGAGATTCAACAACCGGGTTTACAACCGCAGGAAACCAATTCTATAACGTCACAGTCGCTTTATCCGCAGGTATTCGATTGCTCCAAGCACAAGTTCATAACTCGAATGGAACCTTGGAACTATGTCACACATCTTGTCTACTTCTCGACGCGGGTAGTCTCGAAACCTTTCTCACTGAAATTAAAACCTGGATGGACGCCAATACTAACGAAGTCGTCACTCTTCTTCTAGTCAATTCTGACGACGAATCAGCCGCTACTTTCGGATCCATCTTCTCCTCTTCCGGCATTGATACTTACGGCTATACACCCACTTCTACCACCGCACCCATCTCCACTTGGCCCACTCTTCAAACCCTCATCACCGCAAACACCAGACTGATTACTTTCATCGCAAGTATTGATTATGATTCCAAATATCCATACCTCCTCCCAGAATTCACATACGTCTTCGAAACCTATTTTGGAGTCCTCTCCCTCGACGCCTTCAACTGTACTCTCCAACGCCCCACCTCGGTCGATTCGGCCTCTGTCGCTGTCAAATCCAGCTACATGGGTCTCATCAATCATTTCGCCGACACGGCCCAGTCATTCGGCATCACAGTCCCAGATGTAGGAAATATCTCAACAACAAACTCCGCAAGCACAAGTACGACGGGCGCATTGGGAACCCAGGCAAAGCAGTGTAGGAGTGAGTGGGGTATCAAACCAACGTTTATCTTGGTGGATTTCTTCAACATAGGTCCAAGTGTGGAGACGGCGGATATATTAAATGGCGTTTTGGGCGAAACGTCCGGGAGGACAAATATTAGTACGAGTGTTTTGACCGCGAGTAGTGATGATACCAGTAGTGGGGCCAGCTCGCTGAATTTGAGTTGGGGTTTCGGTTTGGGTCTGGGGAAGAATTGGGAAATCATGTGGATGATGATAGGAGTGGTTGCAGTAGGGAATTGGATCTGCTTGTGAGTGGGTTGAAGATCGATGGGATGGGATGGGTACCTTTTTCTTTCGTGGGGGGATTCTTCTTCGCTTTATGGAAATTATGATTGAGGATTTGCTTTTACTTTTATATTTACATAGCGACGGCGTTTGGGATATTTGGATCTAGGAAGGCAAAATTGCATCTGCATTCGCATGAGCATAGGGAATGTCGAGCGAAGCGAAGAAATCACATGTGTTTACTGTAGGAGGATATCGATATAGAATAGAATAGAATGATATGAGATATGAGTGGAAGTCGGAATGAGAATAGTCTAGACTCTAGATAGATATCACTTCAATATAAGCTAGAATTTGAAGGTTTTGACTACTTTACAAGTTCCTATCTCTTATTTTTATTTTTCGGATTTTCCAAGAAATGTATTTGGATTGTACGAGTATTAGATTGGATTGAATGGGATAGGATAAGGTTATCCTGGAAATTTTATTTTCGGCTCATCGTTTATATTTGTAGCTAGATATATCAAGTTATATACTCGAGTAAATGAATAGACTTATGGATCGAGGTTTGGTTTTGGTTCGGTTTGGTCCGGTTTGGTTTAGTTTAGTTTAGTATTATAGACTCGGACTAATAATATCGAATCAATTAACCTTTATTTGTTAGATAGATATATATATATATACTCGTATATTACTATATTGTATTAATATGCTGAGTACTGGATATATTCTATAACGTATTTGACTGCCTTTGGTACTCGAGCCTTGATACTTGGAGCCTTTTACGTGATATCCGGATATCCGTCTACTTCAAGTACCGGGACGGTATTACTCATACGCCGAATGGCTCAGACCAATACCGGTACTGTATCGTATTCAGCATGAAAGTGGAGCAGATACAGTAACAGCAACTAATAGGAACACAGCGAGAAATTATTTGAATGGATGAATGGATGGATGGATAGATGGATCGTCTCTGTACGTGATGAAGTGAGGCTCATTTGTTGACTCACGACTCTAACTAAGCCTAAAATATCCTGGAAACTTGGAAGCATCCTTGTGTTGTGATGTAGATGACGCCTAAACTGTTTGAAGGGGTTGAAGGCTGAATATTGTAACTCTATCCTTGGGACGAAATAACATCGATCCATCTCATTTCATTCAATATGTTGAATGATGATATTTCTTTACCTAGGTATCTTTACGTATTAACACCACGGTCAATGATATTACTCTTCGTAATTCTACCTACCACTGACTGCATAGACAATACCCAATACCCCACGTAGATATTCAGCTGCGCAAGCTATCAATGACAATGCGGGGATCCTGACGACTTATCCACCAATCTGCAACAGAAGTATGTAGGGCAGAGTATGCATTAACAACACGGTGAGTCAAGGTGTCCAATGTCGGTATGACATGAAAGTATATTGGCAATGCATTGATATCTCTGACGAATGGGAGAAGTTCAGTGTTGTGCTAAGCTGCAGGCTGACTGCTGCGGCGAGTGTTGCCTATACACCACCACTTTTACTCCACAAATATCACCAAAGTTCATATATCCACATTTCAATATTTATATACTTCTATCTCGTCCTCATCTCATTCTAGATCTTTATATTCTTTCCCTTCGATATCCTCTCCTCTCTTCTCTTCTCTTCCTCCTTCCCTCCCCCTCTCATTAAAAATACACTTCCGACTCAATTGCGATATCCTCAACAATGCATACCACCGAGATCCCAAGCAGGGAAGGCGAGAAATATGTCGTCGTCAAAGCCGAGCAAGAAGCTATCACCCCCACCCAAGCATCAAGCGATGCCGATCAGGACGAAGATATTAAATGTCCAGAGATTCTGTACAAAGTGCAGTATAAGGATATGGGTGGTGAGATCAAGGGAACTAAAGAGCTGGCAGCACCATATAAGTTGAAGAAGACTACGTAAGTTGACCACCATTTTCTTCAACTAATTACATACTAACATCTTGAAGTTATCGTGATTCGGAAATACCTATCCTAGAAGTCCTATATAGTGTCACTATTTGGTTCCCTACCATTTATGCCAAGAAACATGGCAAGAAGGATAAAGATGATGATAACGCGGATTCATCAGATCAGAGAGATGAAAACGACTTCGATGAACGATCCATGGAAGAGAAAGAACTCATCATTCATTCTTCACATATCATGAAGGCCTTGAGATCTATTGTCGAATATTATCCAGGACAATCTTTGATCGGAGATACCATATCGATCAAGGAACCTTATGGAATTCTTGTTCACTACCGAAAGGAACTTCAAGAGTACAAAGAGAAGTGTGATGATGTAGAAGCTGTTCACCATATCAGTGTCCTTCAAAAGTATCTCGAGGATAACTTTGAAGATAAGTTGAAATTGGAGGATGATCGACATGCCAGGGCCAATCCGGTCGTAACATTCGAAATGTTATGGATGCTTTTTAAGCCAGGAATGGATGTTTACGCCGAATTCGATGAGCAACGCGCCGGATTCGTTATCCAGGGCTGCGAAAATTCCACTGAAAACATCAAACCAGGACAGCCATCCCCCCTCAAAGTCAAAATGTGGTATCTAGATTTCGATGGCCGATTTGTTGGACGTCGATCCCACGAGGTTGCCATCGCACCCTTTGAAGGCGAGCGCGAAATTATATCTTTGAAAGTTATTCCTGCCCATCACATCGATAGTAATCCCGTCATCTCTCCACGAACACAACTTGAAGATCGCGGCGAGAAATTCTATAGTATGTTGATGGGCAAACAGATGGACTATAGAGGTTTCAGCATGCCAGTTGAGCAAAAGCCAAAACGTTTCCACGAAGGCCGTATTGTGGTTGATCAAAGTGCCTTCTACACATACGCCGACTGGCAAGAGACACAGAAACATCCAGCTCCAGTCCTCGGTATCGATGACGACGAATCTGGTATTCTAGCAGACTTGCACTATAACTGCAATTGTGCAGAATGTGATTCCAAACGTCAAGCTGCATCCGCCAACACTCGCTGGGGCAAATACGAAAATATCGATCCACGCGAGACCCCTTCCCTTTCCGAGACCGACACAAATGGACTTGTTTCTCGACACAAGTATTTCCTCTGTCCTCGTCGCATCATGGGTTTCGATCTCAAGTCTAAGAAATGGCAAGCTCTTGACGTTGACTGCTGTCAACCCCCCAAATTCTACACTTCGGCTATTGAGAATCTGGTACTGCCCAACGAGAAACAGGAGATGATCAAAGCACTCGTTCACAAATACACATCTTCCAGAAAAGCCGGCAAGAGTGCACAAACCTGGTCTGCGGACCCTATCCCCAATAAAGGCGAGGGTCAAATCTTCTTGTTACATGGTCCTCCCGGTGCGGGGAAAACATACACCGCAGAATGTGTAGCCGAATTCACATCACGACCCCTTCTATCCCTCACCTGTGGTGACATTGGAACCGACGAATTCCGCGTCGAGGAATCCCTCAGTAAATGGTTCAAACTTGCTGAGATCTGGGGTGCCGTCATGCTCATCGATGAAGCCGATGTATATCTTGAACGCCGCGAAGTTTCAGAACTAGCACGCAATGGACTTGTCTCTGTCTTCTTGCGCGCCATGGAGTACTACTCTGGCATACTTTTCCTAACCACCAATCGTGTGGGCCATTTCGATCCCGCGTTCTTCAGTCGCATCCATGTATATATTGGATATCGACCCCTCGACGCCGAAGGCCGCAAGAGAATCTGGCTCCAATTCTTCAAGAAACTAGAGATAGAACGCGCAGATGAAATCACGATCAAGAGTGCAGCAAAACGATATATCCTATCAGACGATGTACTAAAAGATATCGAGTGGAACGGAAGAGAAATCCGCAACGCGTTTCAAACGGCGGTGGCGCTGGCAGAATACGATGCAGAGACGAAGCTGGAGGCAGACAAAGATGGGAAATTGGAGGTAGAGTTGAGACAGGATCATTTTGAGAGAGTGGTGGAGATGAGTGATAATTTTAAGAAATATTTGGCGACGGTGGGTAGTGAGGAGGTGGCGGGTCAGACGGAAATGATGAAGGCGAAGAAAAATGGTGATAGAGGTGATGATGCGCTTTTGTGAGGTGGTGGAGCTTGGAGAGAGAGGGAGAAGAGGAGAAGAGAAGGTGTTTGTACTTTGCTCTTCTCGTTGCAATTCGAGAGTACGGTTATGGTATCTGAAATATACCCGAGGTTAGGGGGTTAATACTCGTATGATTTCTTGGTTTGCCGTAAGATATGATGTGATGTGATATGACATAGGATAATAAACAATATTCTAAATCAAAGTCTGTATTGAAATACCTTTAAGCTATCTTGTGAAATCTTTTGTCAAAACTGTTCTCGAGTATTTGTAAGAGAGATCTCGAGTGGCGGGAGAGAATGGAGGATGTGGGTGGAGGGGTAGAGGGGTAGAGGGGTGGAGGATAATACTCGTAAAGGAAGTTGTTGAAAACTGCTACTCGTAGGTATGAATGACAGTGTACTGAGAGTAAAAATGGGTGAAGTAAGGTTGCAGTAATGTAATAGGGGAAATTCCTAATAGCCAAGCTAAATATATATTTCACCATCTAATTACTCGAGTATTATAGTAGATAAGGTAAGCCTTACTACGGACCGTCTCTCTCTCTACTCTATTATAATAAACTTCCGCACACATTATTTAGCCTTATCGTTCATACTCGGTAGATGATTCTTCAAGTTATACCTATACAGAAGTACACCAAGTCTGACGTGCAGACAGCTGCTGCGCCTATAATATTTTGGGTTTTAACCGAGTATCCCACTCTGATAACTCTATTATTGGGTGACGAAGTCTATAAATGTACGCCGAACCGCAGCGAAGCGAAGCGAAGCGCTCAATCGATTGAATCGTTCTTCATGGAGGGAGGGGTTTGTCTTTAAAATGTTGGTGGGATGGGTATGGATGGTATCTAGAGAGGCTCAGCTAGCCAACTTTTAAAATATAATTAACCTTATGTTTAATGTTGTTATTCCCTATTGTTGTATCATTTTCTCCAATCATTCTCCTTGCTTTTTCTTACATTTTATATATGGATTTTCCAAATTTCAATTATCTTCCCTAATCGTTTAGCTTTTCTTCCATTGATTGAGTATTATATCGTCGTCGAAAGGCATCATGGTTTTTACTGAGCATAGAGCTTCAATCCTATCATATTCTACCCTTGGGTGCGGCAGAAGGGATTCTCCAACTTTCCTCGATGATACATTGACTCCTACATCCGAAATTGGAGTTGGAATTAACCTTACCATCCCCAGTCCCATCTTCCTCCGAACATTTCTCTTGGACGCTACACCTCCACAAAGTCCCGTGGGACCAAAATTCAAATATTCCTCATCTGCCCTTTCATCATCATCATCATCATCATCATCAATACTCGTACCAGGACCATACAGCCTCATAACATTCCACCAACTCCCCATTTGGAGTCAAGATAATCCTCATATCCACTCCAGATATCGACCCATCTCCCACTCCACCTCCAAATGTCTCCATTCCTGTTTTCAAATCCACAACGAAACGTTCAATATATGGTCTCATATCCTCCCCTGTATTCTCTTCATCATTCTCGAAGGTATAATGATATACCATCTCAAAACACGTTATCCCCATTCCACCATCAAAGATCATCTCATCTTTACATTCTTCATCCTCTGCGCAACCATATGCCTAGGCACCTCAGCAATTTTTCACACCCTCATTTCTCATTCTCAAAAAACTCATAATCTCTGGCAAAAGCTCGATTACGCGGGTATTCTTTTGGTACTCGTAGGTTGTTTTGTATCGGCTGTATACATGACGTTTTTCTGTAACCAAACTTTACAGTATGCTTATTGGGGAATGGTCAGTAATTTCATCTCATCCTCATCTAATCTAATCTAATATTTCTCAACTCAAACTCATTACATGTATAGATCCTAGCAATGGCAAGCACAGCATTAATATTCCTCCTCCTCCCATCATTCCAAGGACCTCGATGGCGTTCACTTCGCACAGCAATTTTTTGCGCAACGGGTCTTTCGATCCTCATCCCATTCGTGCATGCAGTGGCTCAATTTGGGTTTTCTCAGGCGATGCGGCAATCGGTTATGCCGTATTATTTCGCAGAAGGTTTATTGCTACTACTTGGAGTTGTCTGTTTTGCTGTATGTTTTTTTTCTTTTGCGTGCATGTATCTGATTCTTTTTAGAGTAGAGGAAGACTAATCTTAACTAATCATGGAAATAGAAACGATGGCCAGAATTGTGGATTCCGGGTAGTTTCGATCTAATGGGTAATTCGCATCAGATTTTTCATCTGATGGTTGTTTTGGCGTTGGTGTTGCATGCGGTGGGGTTGCTGCAGGCGTTTGATTATAATTATGGGAATGGGGAGTGTAGAGGATTTGTTTCGTGAGATGGGTTCCAGATGGGTGGATTTATGAATCTTGGAGTGATTGGAGGGGTGTATATATTGGATTGGGAAGGTACTTGAAGGGCGGGCGGTTATGATTTATGGTATGGGTGTTGATATGATTATGTTGATGTTGATGTTGATGATGGTTTTATGAGGAAAAGAGAGGAGGGGAAGGTATTGGGAAATGGGGGATGGGAAATGGGTAATGGGTAATGGATAATGGGATATGGATGGATATTAAATATATATAGGACTAAAACGAGGAGAGGAACGAGGAAAAATAAAGGATATACCCACAAGAGACGGTTTATTCCAATGTATTCCAAGGATGTTCATATAGGAATCCTGCAGTAGCATACAGAATATAGTAGTACCTACAGTACGCATCAAAATCTATGTACTCGAGTATCACAGACGGGTATCTAATGATTTATTACCCCTCACTCAAATTCTCAATATTCATATATTATACTCGAGTATACTTTGAGTAGTTTGTATAAAGAATAGAATAGAATAGAATGAATCCTTCATAGTCTGCCTAGTATATAATGATTTACTCTATCTACTCGTTAAGAGTAAAACTTGCTAGTATCGGTATAGGTTTTTTGAATGTGTGTATCGTTAGATGAGAACATTAGATGATTAGATGAATAATATATTGTGAGTGCTAAGTACTAAGTGCTAAGGACTCGGAGCTAGTAGAAGTAGAGGTAAAAGAAGAAGGGGACGCGGGCAGTAGGGCTAGGGGCTAGGGGCTAGGGGTCAGGAGATTAGTCGAGCTAGCCGAGCTAAGCTAATTTAGAAACTTGAAGGGAGCAAGCAAGCAAGCAAGCAAACTAGTGCTATTCAAAATACCGGTATTCAATTACTAATTAGAGCCTAAGGTTTTTGTTTTATTTCACTATTATATCACATATATATATACTCGAGTATATTATATATCAGTGATATGCGAGCGCGCTGATAGATTATAGATTATAGAGTATAGAGTATAGAATAGTAAAGTGTATAAAGTTAGAAAGTATATAAAGTAATAAAGATCTACCGAGTATTTTTATATTCATTATTCTTTACTAATTAATATTAACTAATGTTTTCATTTGTCGCTAGTGTTTATCTAGGATAGGAATATTGGATGTGATATAAATTTGAATACAATACTATTGAATGTGAATCCGAAGAGTATGCATATATTCTTTTCTTTTGTTGTTCATATAGAATATGAATATGGAATATCGGACATAGGATTCAAACCAAAAGCCCAAAGACCCGACATTTCATTTCCCTCTGTGTACTCCCTGTACGTACTACAAAATACTCTCTTCATAGTATAAGCTCTTCATAGTATAAGCTTAAGACTGTAAGTGATCATGCGACTCACTACAGGAAAATGAAAAGTCAAACCACAATCATGCAAAAAAACTACCCAGTAACCAGTAACCAGTGCATAAACGCCCGTCCAAACCTCCCGAATAAAAAAGATTCCCGCTTTTACCATTCCCATTTTCCTTCGTTGTGATTCCATCTTTATTTGCGGATCTGATTTACATTCTCCTTTTCGTTGTATCTTCACTCCACTTCACTTTTTCTCTTTCCCTTCCCTTTCCCTTCTAATTCACTCTTCCTCATAACTCCATATCCCACTCCCCTTTTCCTTTCCCAGAACTCCACCACACCTCGACCTTCAACTCCTCTCCCCTCCCCTCCCCTCCCCATCATCCCCTCACCCCCCACCCCTCACCCCCTCCCCAAAAAAACTCGTCAAACTCTCCGGATCCACCTGATCTATTTTCCCTTTTCTTCCCCCAAGAACCCGTAGATCTCCACTGTTCATCCAGGGAATAATGCCGTTTCCGGGGGTGCCGCGGCCGATGGTATGATGTTTTTGAGGTGGGGAGGAGGAATAGGAGGAAGAGGAGGAAGAAGAGGAGGAGGAAGAGGAGGAGGAGGAAGAAGAGGAGGAGGAAGAAGAGGAGGAGGAAGAGGAAGAGGACGTGTGGTGGGGGAGGTAAGGATGGAAAATTAGCGTGTGTAGGGTGTGGAGGACTTGGTGGCTGGTTGGGGAGGCGTGGGGAGAGGGTGATGGGAGGTTGGTTTTGGTTTTGGGGGGGAGGGGAGAGCTGGGGTGAGGAGAATTAGTGTAGTGGGGAGGGGTGGGGAGGAGAGGAGAAGGGGTGAGGAAGAGGAAGAGGAAGAGGAAATTACCTGGAGCGTGAGCATGAGGGGTGTGAATGCGGTTTTAATTTTGACGGAGATGCAGATGAAGATGAGGATTTCGCCATACTTTAACTAACTTCAGGCTTAAGACTTAAGTGCCCAGTTGGAAGATAAATGGCGATGAATTGATATAGCAATGCAAATCAATGGATGATGATATATGCTCGAGTAGATTGATCGATATTTGGAGAAAATGTATATAACGGAGTCTGAGTTTTGATATATATCGATGTGTTGTAATATATCGATGGAAGATAGAAGATAGATAACTATATCAAATCTCATCAACAACTTTTATTTCCAGGAGATACATATACATGCAGAAAACAAACCAAATACGTATATGTAATATCACAATGCAGAAATACCATCATGATATGGTCTGGTCTGGTCTTTATATATAACCATTCCATCCCCTGGTACCACAAACCGGATCGTACCGGACCCAGCACCTTGACCTTTCGAGTATAGAGTATGGAGTACGAGATACTCATCTCTAGCTAATAATTCTAGCCCAGTATTAAAGAATTCATTATGTCATAATATAACATAAATATGACATGACAAGAAAGAACATCCTGGACATATACGGTATACCTCTGTTCTTCCTTGAGATACGTAGTACATGTACAAGTAAGTAGCAAAGATGCGAGGAATCAGCATGCAGATGTAGAGAGCGCCAAGAATTGATATTGATACTTAGGTGTGGCAGTTGCGGACGGAGTGAGAAGGCCGTTTGACACGTGTGTGTTTGTGTATGTGTATGTGTTGCTTGCTTGCTTGCTTTTCGTAGGACGATGTACAGGTTAGTAATGGTAATGGTAATGGTAATGGTAATAGGGCTGGTATAGTATGGTATGCCATGGCATGGCATGGCATGGCATGGCATAGCATTATTAGCGTGACATACTGTAATTCGGACGTGTGATTTATGTGTACTCGTATCTAAGTGATGCAGTATGGTACGGGTGATACGGTTAGTATGTACATATAAAACGTACCGGTCCGGTATATCGAGCGTGATTCTTAGGATGATAGGATGAGTATTATACTGTAGTACACGGAAGAGTAGAACCCGAAAGAGGAGAGAAGAGCACAGAATAGGGAGGGATAGGGACAGGCATAAGGTTACCTACCAGTTAGAAAATACGGCTGTCTGTAAGCAAAAATTACGTAATATACCGATGAAACATGTTAATGTGACCAGCACAGCACATATTTTCATCATCATCTTCTATCGTTGTTGTCATTATCGTTATTTGTTGTTAATTGCATTTGATGAATAATCTGATCATGGGAAGAAGCATACCAAACTTCCATTTCGATGGTCAGCTCCCCCATTGGTTCGTAATATATAAGGCGTCCTTGACCCCTCGTTCCTGTACCTCGAGCTCCTTGTAAGTTGTGGCTAGCTTCCTAGGCCTACCTTTCCCTCCATATACCGGTGTTTCGTATTCCGGATCCCAAGTATTGTTTTTCTAGGATGATTTCTAGAACGATTTCAGTTAGACAAGCTTATTTAAGTACGATCAATATTAGAACTTCGTTTTCTGAAATATCTCCTCGGCTCGACTTTTGCGAATATAAAAATACTAATAGTTAGCTCTCTATAGAATAGCCGTCTAAATTCCTAATTAAGAAAAGCGATTATTCTTTATAAACGAGTATTCTTCTTCGATATCAAAAGTATATAATATATTTATTTTGAAAATAAATTATAACTTTACAATCTAATAAAAAGTTTCGAATCTATAATATAAAATCTAGTTATTTAAGACTAGATTCTAGAGTAAATAATATAAAAATAAAATGAATTCGATTTTTGTAATATAAGAATAATATAATTCACTTTTAGTGATATGAGTGAGAGTAATTTACTATAACTATATATATATATATATAGGTATGTATTTCAGCACCTACTACTTGTAGGAAATCAATAACATATATACAATATTAACTTCACTATTATAGCTCACACACTCAATAACATCACTCACTAACATCACTCACTCACTCATACAAACAAGCACCCATCCCATCAAATCAAATCACCCTCGAAAGAATCGAAAGAATCAATCATCATCAATTCGCCTACTTGTATCGCTCTAAAAACCCGAAAACTATCTGTCTGTCTGCATCATGCCATGTACTCTTTCTTTTTTTCACGCCTCAGATCGATCGAAAAAAAACACACCCGCACCCACACCCACACTCAAAGCATCCTCTTCAAGACTTAGCAGCTTCCAACTCCAACTCCAATTGTCTAATTCTTTCGCTTTGATCACCAGGACCTACCCTCATCTTTAATGTATCAACTTCTTGAGTCAACAGCCCGATTTTCTCCGTTTGTGCCGTGATGGTTTTGGTTTGAGCTTCCAAGAGTTTCTTGATTTCTGCGAGAGAATCTTCGACACCTGCAATTGTTGGAGATAATTGAGGGGCACCAACGGCGGAAACAGGTCCAGAAGAGGTAGGGATCGTGGCTAGGGTAGGTTTTGCTGCGGGCTCGAACGATGTTGTTGGTGTTACTTGAGACACGGGAGATGCTTTTGGTGGTGTGGTTTTTGTTGGAGCGATCTTGATTGGTTCTACCTTTGCTGCAACTGGAACTGACTTTTGAATTGGCTTTTGAATTTCCTCGAAACTAGAATTATCATCGGCTTCTTCCTCTTCATCATCTTGGAATTTAGAGGCCATGGCAGAAATAGAACCCTTTTGCTCGGACATAGTTGGTGGAGGTGCTCTTTGTGCGACAGGAGCTGGTTCAGGCTCTGCCTTGGGTGGGGAGGTCTTTGTTGAAAATGGAGTTGGCGCCGGTGCAGCGACGGGTGGGCTATAATCGGATGGTACCTCAACTGGGGCATTTCCTTCATATACACTTTCCAAATCGATCTTGGCAGGAATTCCATCTTTACCAGCGAGCCATTCTTCAGCAGTAACCGCAGGTTTCAAACCAATAGCAGGTGGGTAAATATCAGATTGGAAGACTTCGGCTCGTCGAGGAACCGTAAAAGAAATAGGTTCGACATATTGGTCGTTGACGGTTTTGAATCCCTTCATAACTTCGTTCTCGTGAAGCTGTATACTGTTAGAATGTATGTGCGAAAGACCCATAATGACAACCACTTACGTTAATACCACGTCTTGGAAGGAATGCGATACCACGTTGTTGATCACTAGACTTATATTCCGACAAGAATTCGAATTTGTCATTCTCATATTCGAAGTATCGAATATTACCGTCACTAAATCGTCAGCTACTTTCTCCCACTTTCTCATGATGTCTTCAAATCGACTTACCCTTTGCCTGCCAAATACAAACATTGTGTTCCATCATCTAAATCATGATTAGCATAGATCAAGTATAAACCATCAATGCAACCTACCCCAGAATGGCATGCAAACCCCCGAGATTGAGTCCAAAACGGTGAAGCCGCCAATTGGTTGTTTGGCGTTACCAACATCCCACAAAGCCAGTTGTCGATCACTCATCTTGGAGAATCCGGTAGTAGCCACGCGATTGTGTTCTCCCATCCATACAACTCTGCTATTCTTTGCTCCGGTATGTCCAGGTCCTTCATGTGTGGGCCTTTCCTGTCTAGTATCCCAAATACGCAACTTCTTGTCTCGAGAGGTCGTGGCCATAAGAGCTCCGTTTGCGCTCCATGATAAACTTTGTACAATATCTCCATGCTTCAAGGTCAAAGCTGCTTTCCCAGTGCCTACGTCCCATAGCTTAACGGTGTAATCGCCAGATGCAGATGCGAGGATATTGTTCGCGGCGGGGTTAAATAGAACTTGTCCAACTTTCCTGCAGACTGTTAAATCCGATTCGAGGCTTCGGTATAACTGGCACATACCTAGAATGTCCTGCCAATTTGCTGATAGGCGCAACATCGACAGGTTCCTCAGAATCCTGGTAAAGGGAAAAATCTTCGGGAACCTCCCATATAAATACCTTTCCATCATCAGATCCAGAAGCGATAATGCGATCGTTGAAAGGGTTCCTAATCCAAAGATGAGAGTTTGTTTCCATCTGCCACATATTGACTACTCACCAATCCGTATCAAGAACCGGTCCAGTATGACCTCGAAACAATGGAATCTGTTCTGGCAGACGTCCCTTTTCATTCAAAGGAATAACAGCGAATGCGCCTCCACCACTGGATTCCCAATTGACCGAAAGATATTCAGGATTGGCCTATTTCGATGATGAGCTACCTTATTCCTCAAACTCTACATCACTTTCCAAGTATTTATTCTTCCTACCTTGATTAAATTGGTATCCCATGCATTGCGACTGATATGTAAGTTCTCGTAACATGCTTCCTTCTTCGATGATTTACCAAAGATATGTCCTATATTTACTCATCAGCGAGTTGCTCTCGTGTTCTCTATAACAGAACAAGGCTTACGATATTTCGACGCGCGCACAAAACGACCTGCCATCAGAGCTCATGCAAAGACTTTGGAAGGAGGTAAAGTTATTGAATGTAATTAAGAATGTTGAGAAGGTTTCGGGGGGTAAAAAAGAATGTTTATTTCGTTGTTGTTGATTTGTTTATTTTGTTGTTATGCGAAGTTCAGTCAAAAGTATTGTTGATGATGCTATCGGTCGGTAACTTTTTGAATCACCACCTGTACGTACTGAATTCGGTACTCTGTAGCAAGAGATGGGGGTGAAACTCAATCTCTAGAATGCAACGCGAGGCTTTCACTGTGTTTGTTGTATTGTGTTGCAGTTTTGTTGCAGTTTATTATTAGTACAGTAGTTATTGGGTACTGTAGTATAATGGGAAGTCACATCTCAAATTAGGAGTTTCCTTTGTCTCGATCAACCCCTTTTCCTTATGTTCTATTCCGTTTTGTTCTTTCATGATATGCATTAATTTACCTACTTAGGTATATCTATTCGATACTCAACGTACGAGTTACAGAGTACAAGTTCATAGCTAGATCGGAGTCCACTTTCTGCTGCATAATTATACCCCACCCTTTGGTGTGTATTATAGGTATTATGGCATAGCTGAAGATGAGACCGAGATCGAGGGGAAGTCCATATATAAAGTTATGTACGTTATCAAATTCAACAACAGCAATCAGTTGTATGGTCTAATGGTTATGATATCTCGCTCACAATCATATTGTTGTTCGTCAAGTTCATGTGACTTGAACCGAGATGGTTCTGGGTTCGATCCCCAGTACAACTAATATAAATGTTTCTTTTTGATGTGTTTATTTTTTGGATGTCTTCTGCCACACATATTTTGACACACCGGTATAGATAGAAGAAATTCTTTTGTTGATCTGTACAGTTTCCTTTTTTGTTGTACCCTTCCTTGGATTTAGTGGGATGTGATCTGCAATAGTGGACAGGCTGTTGTTCTATTATGAAATTTACGCACAGACCACACAGCCTTAATAAATGGTTTGATAGAAACACCAAAACCTGCAACTTCTGATGCAAAGTAGGATAAGAATCAAGGCGGATGTATCATTCCAACTGTATCGTACTATCCGTTGTTTCAATGCTCAAATTTACCTTGAGAATTGTGAAACACATCCTCTAAGACTTCTGATGAATACCAGTGTCGGTAGTATATTAATGTCCAAAGTTGGACATTCAATAATCAACCAACCGTCTGAAAGTATATGGTATCCAAGCCGCTTTTGTATAATCATATATACTATTTTATCTGTTTATCATATATCAAAATGGAAAGTTGTTTTGCAAGAGGATGCTAGAGCAAATGTACTCTTTATCCAAGGTCAAATGAGATCTCGAGTGTCGGGAGTAGTACAGGCACGCTCTGAGTATCTCTTCCATAATCCAGGAGAATATTTTTTGGCGGCTTCTTTCAGGCCTTTAAGATCTTAGTTCGAATGGAGACAAGTTCAAATCTCCGGACAATCCAAACGCTCAGGGAGAATAGGTCAGGTGTTTTTTTTTTGGGATTTGAGTTGGTTTATTGACCGATTCTAGAATGCCACACACACTCCACAGTGTGGAAAAGTTTTAATTATTTTCAAGCCTCAAACGAAGGATACAGTAGTCAAAACTCCTACATTGAACTCGTATACGCCAACCTCATCAACGGACTTTGCTTTGAACAGCTTCTTATGGCAGTCACTCGCTGCCCGGAGATATACAAAACTCACGACCCTAGGAAAAAGCACAAAATTGTCTACTCGAGTATAGCACGCATGAAGCTACAGTGATAGATTTATTAACAGTACTTCAATAAAGTCTTACTTCAAAACTCGTAAGCGAAAAGTTGGAATGCTAGTGTGAGCGAGTTTTCGTGCGGGTTATGTGGTGGAAAGGGTAGGGGGGTTGGAAAAGGGTGGTGTTAATTTTTTTGAAAAGGTGGGAATGGGAAGATGTTTGGAGAATGGCTGGCGGTGGGACATATGGAGGGAGTTGGGATTGCCGGTGGTCAAATGGTGCAATTTCGCCAGTCTCGAAATCTTTGTCTCAAACCTGACCTTGGCCCGGACATTGATGCCTGGGCAAAGGCACGTAAGAGGCCAGTAAATTCCCGTCGGGAAAACCCCAATCTATCCCTTTGACTCAGATCTCATCATTAATTATGACGGAAATATATGTATGGGCTGGAACTTTTGGTTGATTAGAAACTTCATTCTTCAGCAAATGATTTGTGAATCTCGAACATCCTTTCTATTTTCCTCGGTCGTCGCGCTCCAAGAATGCTAGGAAAATATCCAAATCACATATCTCGCGAAAGTTTCGAATATACAGGCACCTACAGAAGGGCCTAGGCCAATACCTCTGCTTAAAATCTGATGGATGTACTGAACAATGGTGAATCTTTTACAACTAGCAAGATTCGATACTTCTTGTCCTGTTTCCTCGTTGCGCTCTCTCTTTTGCGCTTCTCTTTTCATAGTCGGTCATCATTTAACCTGTCCTTTGACTGGACCTGTCACAATCTTTTAAACATTTAACATGAGTTTCCCAAGGCAGCAGTTTGAGCTGTGGCTCTAGCCCTTACTGTTTCGACGGTGTTGAGTGAGAACGCTGGTGGGAATCTTAGTAATAAGGTAGCGAGAGCATATATCCCGTAGCGGAGTCAAATGAAAATGTAAATACTTGTTGTTGTTGACCATACATAAGTGAACCAATCTACTTCCTTGACATGTATACAGGTTTACCCCTATAGTAGAGCGGAAGCCGCACGAGGCGTCAAGCGATACCCTTAAACCAGCGGAATTGGTCGAAGATGGGCTGACGGAGCTGGAGGTTGAACTTCTTATGGATGAGGCAAGAGTGGTAGATGTTCCTAGAGAGGTAACTAGGGCCTTTATAATGTGTTAATATTTAAGGTGAAAGTAGTATATATGCGATGCAAGACTGTGAGAGAAGGACTTATCAACTGAATTGAAGACGAGGACCGTGAAGTCGAAGAAAATGACTATAATATGTTAACAATCATGTGACATCTCCAAAGTATTAGAAAGCAGGAGCGAAATGAAATGTTTTACCCGGGATGAAGTCGAGCTAACCGCTAGAGCTGAAGCTGAGGTACTGGGGGAGGAGGAGGACGATGCCTAGCACATATATTAGTACTTAAGTGGCGGAGCAAAGGTAACATAGGAGAATGATTTATTACTCGAGTTGAAGTGGAGCCGAGACCCAGTCCTACAGCAGTGGTACGGGATGAAGACAGTGACTACCAAACTGTCAGTAATCATTTACCATAGAGATGGAGAAAAGCATACAGAACTGGAGCTCGTCGATGCGCTATTTGGTGCCTGGGTGGAACTGCGCGAGGATCTGGATGATCCACTCGCGGCAAGTGCGTTGACAGACGACGTGAGACTGGACGATATCCGAGATTAAATAGAGGAACTGGTGCTGAACCCCCTGAGAGTTGCTACCAAACTCGTAGAAGTCGAAGTACTGACTGCAGATACTCCTTGCAATGATCTCGAAGAAGAGGCTGAAACTGATAAAGTATTTCTCGTATTTGAGGAAGATGAAGGACCCCCGATATCATTTTAGGTGAGGGAAGAGGAAGAGGAAGGATCTCCGATAAGATTTTGCGTAGAAGTTGAAAAAACCCCGACGTTTTGGGTCGAGGAAGATGATGAAGGACCCCCGATAACATTTCGGGCAGGTGAAGTGGAAGGACCCCCAACGTTTTGAGTTGAGGAAGATGATGAGGAAACCCCGACAACATTTCGGGTGGGGGAAGACGAAGGGCCTCCAATAGGATTACCGGTTGGAGAAGTTGAAGGACCCCCGATAACACTTTGAGTGGGCGAAGTTACACGGTAGTTTCTCCGTCTGTCATCGGACCTATATATTCTATGGGCGACGGGATCATATATGCCCCCGTCTATCAAAGTGGCCCCGATAGGCTATCAAGGATAGGTGGTGCCGGCTTGGCCTTTGATATGTAGCGTAGATGGCAATCTGAAGGTGTTGTGCAAAGGCAATGGAAATACTCGTATTTATGGGAAATTATATCTCATCGATGGTATGTCAATATTTTCTAGGAAATCCTTCATTTAATAGACAAACGAAATCAAAGTAATATGATATGCTTGCTAATAAATCAAATAGCAAACGGAGATAAATAAACCGAACTCGCCATGGGGAATGATGCGTCAACGAGCTCCCTGACGGTTGCGCCAATTGATATCTACTTTATCGAGGCAACTGGTGATAGGTGGAGAGATTAGAGTGAATAGATAGATTTTGTTTTATGAGTGTGATGTTCGTGGGACAAATTTGTGTGATATTTATTTTTCAATTGGTGTCTGGTTGGGGGTTTTGTTTGTTTCTTTGGATGGGTTTATGCTCGAGGCTCCGTTGAATTTTGGGAGGGGGAGGAGGGGGAAAGGATCTATGGCTAGTTTGATAGAATGTTGATGGATGGCTAGATGGATGATGGATGGATAGATGTCGTTTAGAGCTATAAAAATCATTATGTGTATAAATTCTGATTAGTTTTATTAAGTACTTTTTCTTAGTATAAGGAAAACTATTGATTTTAACTGAAATCTAAGATTTATATCTATCAAAATTATCTTACTAGTGAGTATAGTTTTTATCTCTACTATATATATAATTTAAGAATATTGATAATTCTATAAATATACTCGAATAGAAACTGATATCTCTATTAATAATTGATTATATATCTGAATTTATAAAAATTAGTTTTATTAATATATAAATATCTTGAATTGAACTTAAAGAAATTCAAAGGCACAAAGTGTTCAAAATTTGAGTTTCGGAAGCTCAAGTAGTACAGGGTAACTTACGTTATTTCTGAGCTAAATCAAGCACGCAATTTTATTACGAATTTTTAGCTTCATTTTTCATCATCGATGATTATTCCTTCGAGTCTCAAATAAAGTATGGAGTCTTTCACGTCTCCTTCCTACTCGGACCTGCATACGTGGATTGAATATATTCTGCTGGATAGAAATCATTTTTCTTAATAGGTGCAGGACTAGATCGATACTGGATTGAGATTACCATACCTCTCTCTCTAACTGATTCTTCTTCTCGATAGGAATCTCTCGATCAATACTACAATTCTTCGTGTATAGGTCTATGAGAATATATCTTTCATCTGTTGGATATCAATGGGACTATATATAATAATCCATTTAGTTCTATCGACACTTTTCGCGTGAAGCTTTGAGCTTACAACTCCAAATCTTCACATCGATCACGAATACAACACGAGACATCCTCTTCTCCCAACTACCAAAATGTCAGACCCCCTTCAATCCCAATCAAAAACCACCATTCACGTGATCGACCACGACCACGACACCGAAAAAGGATCCCCCCCTCCTCAATCCAACACCCCTCACAATGAAAACCACAACCCTCCCCGGCCCCTCCCCGCCGACAATCTCGCGCGCTCCCTCTCCGCCCGCCAAGTACAAATGATAGCCATCGGCGGCACCATCGGCACGGGGCTCTTCCTCGGCACCGGAAAATCGCTCGCAACCGGTGGACCCGCATCAATCCTCATCGCCTACCTAATCGTCGGATTCATCGTCATGCTCACGATGCTCTCTCTGGGTGAAATGGCCGCCTTTGTACCCATTGCAGGTAGTTTCTGCACGTTCGCTGGCAGATATGTGGATGATGGACTGGGGTTCGCCCTCACGTGGAATTATTGGTTTAATGATGCAGTGAGCACGGCGGCGGATTTGGTGGCGCTGCAGTTGGTGTGGGCGTATTGGGGAGATACGGGGTTGCCGGGGTGGGGACTGGCGTTGATTTTTTGGGTGTTTTTGATAGGGGCTAATATTATTACGGTTAAGGCGTATGGGGAGGTGAGATATGCTTGTTTGGGGTGATGATGAGGAGATGCTGATTGGTGTTTTATAGCTGGAGTATTGGTTGAGTTTGTTGAAAGTTATTACTATTACAGTATGTATTCCCTGTCCGCCATTGATTTTCATGTTTATGTATGTATGTGCTGACTTTCGGATAGATCTTTATAATTCTTGGAATCGTAGTTAACTGTGGAGGGAATACCTCCCACACATATCTTGGAGCGCATAATTGGTACATTGGCGACGCACCATTCGTTGGGGGTATCGGTGGCTTCGCATCAGTTTTCGTAACCGCATCCTTTGCATGTAAGAATCCCATTCTAGCTTCCCCAGAAATACTCATCCCAACCCATATTAGACGGCGGTACAGAGTCCATCGCCATAACTGCCGGCGAAACCAAAAACCCTACGAAAAATCTCCCGCGCGTCGTCAAAAACGTCTTTTGGCGTATCCTCATCTTCTACATCCTCTCCGTTTTCATCATCGGTCTCAATGTCCCATACGATTACCCGGGTCTCTCAAGCAAAACCACCACCACCTCCCCTTTCACCATCGTCTTCCAAATGGTCGGCGCAAAAGCCGCAGGTTCTTTCATGAACGCCGTCATTCTCACCTCTGTCATCAGCGCAGGTAATCACGCTCTATTTGCCGGCACCCGCTTACTCTATGCTCTCTCGGTCGATCAACACGCCCCCCAATTCCTTGGACAATTAAATCGAAATCGCGTTCCTTGGGTTGCAGTGTTAGTTACTAGTGCCATTAGCGGATTATGTTTCGGAGCAAGTTTTATCGGCGCAGGTCAACTATGGTCTTGGTTGCAAAATCTCGTAGGTGTCAGTAATCAATTAGCATGGATAGCGATAGGAGTCACCTCGATACGTTTCCGCGGCGCATTAGAACAGCAAGGCAAAACCCATCTTCTCCCCTTTAAGAATTGGACGTATCCGTGGGGACCGTGGATCTGTGTCCTAGCGAATGTGGTGATAGTGCTAGTGCAGGGATGGAGTTCGTTCAGTCCGAGGTTTAGCGCAGTGGACTTTGTGAGCTATTATGTGGAATTGCCGGTTATGGCGATCATGTGGTTGGGCTGGAAGTGGTATAAGGGGACTAGGGTGGTGGGCTATGCGGAGATGGATTTGGAGACGGATGTTCATGTTGTGGGGGGGGAGGAGGATCGGGAGGAGGGGGAGAGGGAAAAATCAAAGAGGGGGAGGGTGGAGGCGCTGTTGAGGTGGGTTTTTTAAGCTGAGGTAAAGGCTGCGGCTTTTAGTGATTACTGTAGCGGTTAGAGGTTTAGTGGTCTAGAGGGAGAATTAAGATTCGGAGGGGGAATGACCCCGGGCGCTCTTTGGTGTTTTATGTGTGCAGTGTTTTGTAATACGAATCCAATCTAATGTGCTTGTAATCCTCTGCTACCTAAATCTCTAACATCTTCAACATCTCTAGAATCCTAAAAAGATAAAGAATAAAGCTAAAGAAAGAAGTGTGCAAACTCATAACTTAACAACCACGGTATCATGTATAAAGGGGGATAGTGCGGGTGGTATAGAAACTTCAAGGTTTCTCGAGTGAAACCAGAAAGAATCTACTCGAGTAGTACAATTTGAAGTCTTCTCTTCTATAATCATTACTACTCCGAGATACATAGTCGTCGTCGTATTCGTCGTCGTATTCGCCTTCGTCGTCGTCGTCGTCGGGATATTTATCTTCTATCTAAATACCACGAAAAACATATAATATGAAGACTAATTACGGATGATTTACTTAAATTGAATTGAATTGAGTTGATATAACATAACACGATATGATACGATACGCTGCGGCATTTCTCCTTTCCGTTGATTCACTTCCTACTGTACTATACCTTTATCTCCCACTCCACTCACTCCATTCCCCTATCAATTTTAATAACACACGAAGAAGCGATGCCGGCGTCACGCGTCACTCATCACTCGTCACTCGTCACTCGTCACTCCTATCTTGTTTGATGTACTCGAGTAAATACCAGTGGAATTTAATGACGGTCGGTGATTAGAGAGAGAGAAATAGAGTAATGAACATATACGATTACAGTGTACTCTTGCGAAAATTGGCATGATATGATCGGGAATTATATACTTACTCGTTGTTAACAACATTCCCTTGATAATCCGGGAATTGTATGTAGTTAGTCTAGTTTCTGGTTTTCGCTTGTGATTATTTTACTTTTTGAATGTATGTTCGAGTGAATGTTGAAGTGATGCAGTGGATCTCAATGAATGAATGAATGAATAAATGCCTATATTTGAATAGAGGGTGTGCGTGACAGGAACAAATTCATGACATGATTCAAAACATTCACAACTTAGACTTGCCATGGAAGCCATTCCCGTAAAAGCCATTCCCGATCTCCGAGAAGTATGATTCAGTGTTGAAGACGACTTCAACACATATACCTGTACCTATGCTCAAGTCAATTATGATATCTCCCACGCCGTATCTTCGTTTTTCTCTAGAAAGGACACACAGAAATCCCACGGTATTAGGTATCTTACTTCGAACTCCATCTGGATCATCATCATCATCATCCACACCAATACTCCCACCCCGAAACATAACAAGCTCTAGTTCTATTTCTATTTCCAGCATCAAATCTTCATATAATCTTACAAGTTACAACGAGTCTTTCTCTATCTTCGATACCAGAAGAAGAAGAAGACTCTATAATCAGCGTGGTGCCGCCAGAATACCTCCAGGATATTCAGATGGTACGAAATATGCACCCCCACCCCCACCCTTCGTACGCGAGTGCGAGTGCGAGTGCGAGCGATCGGGAGCCAATGATTCCAGGAATGAGTAACATGACAAGCTCCGAACCAATTTCTTATGCGAAAGTTCTTCTCGAGCAGATGCGTCACCGGCAAGAAACAAGGAGGAAAAGTGGCGGGGAAAGTGGTAGGCAAAATTCGGCGACTTATGATGGTCAAGGATGAGAAAGACGATAGGTTCATGGGTGGGGATGAGGTATCTTCAGGTTCTGTCTCGACGGCTCCTGTCTCGTTCTACAATTCTTTTATTTCAAAATATTCCATCTCATCTTGTACATCCGAAAGTTCGAGCGAAAAAGATCCTGCGTGTCTAACTGAATATTCATCGTCTCCGGACCTAACAGAGTATGACGATGTTGCCCCGAGGAACAAAATTGAGACTCTTATTGCTTCGAATTGGGGTGATATTGTTCTTGAATACTTGAGCCATTCCAAATTCCCCTACGAAAATCCAACTTCAAATTTTTCCGATGCTCCATTGCTTAGTAATGTTGGAATAGAGAAAGAATATGATGAGATATTATCTCAAAGTTCTTCTAGTTCCAGTTTGACCATTACCGGTAACTCCTACCAAGAAGAGGTCCTGATATTGGATGATGTTTTTAAAATGGAGCATTCTGGCCGTCTGAGAATGCCAAACTTACCGGGACAATACGAGCATCAAAAATATTTCAATCCTGCACTGATTCCTGATGTCCAGAACCAACATAATCGACCGGGAGTTTCTGATATGGACGTTGTAGTTGGCGACAATATTTCAACGGGGCCTTCAACCGAATCAACTGTCAATGAAACCCACCCCCACCATGGATCAACTCCTAAATCAATGAATGATCTAGAAGGGTTAGACGCTACTGTTGCTAATATGGGGAGGCAGAAAGATTACTGGGAGGATCATCGTAATCGATCCGAGATATCGAATATAGTTGGCCGCGAAGAAAGCATCACCAACAGCAATGGCACACACAGAAAACAGCTTTCGTGGAACATCAAGGGAATCCATGAGTCTATCGACAAAGGCATGACTCCACTTCAGCTCCATGACCACAATACTGGTCGACATGCTGACAATTTCTAGGAACTTTCGGGGAGAACACAATCTTGGAAATGATCGAAGAAGTAGAGGAGATGATTTTGGCTATGTGCCCACACGAAGGAGATGCGAGAGATAGTGTAATTAGCTTCATGGATTAGTATACCGCCGATAAGCGTTGAGTATGTTTGATGTGTAATCAAATTCCATTTTCTGCCGCATTCCATGCATAAGTATCCCAAGAAAACCAGTCGAAATTTCCATCCAAAGATTGTTCTGTAGATAAAAAGTCCAATTGATGGAGTAGTGGATCGGCCGATTGGCCAGCTTGCTCATGTAACGAACCCATTTCGCGCATTGAAATGTCCCCTGGAATTTCATTGGCAAACCCCGAGATTTCCATCGGATAGGATAGGAAGCTGAGTAAGGTAGGATCAGCAAGATCACTGGAGAGATCCCTCAGGTTCGTACCCGTGAGGGGAAAGTCGTGATTGTAAGAGTTGAAGTTTGGTGCATCGATTCTTGCAGAATGACCTCCTCCCAATTCATGTGCGGTTTGGGGAACTAGCCCGTCCGTAAGAGAAGTCGACTCTAGACCTCTGATTGGTACTTCCGATAATTTGCCCTCCAAGCTTTTCCGATGAATACTTCCTCTAACAAAACTTTCTGCCAGTCGAGTAAAAGTTTCCGCAATTTGCTCCAGCTTCCGCGCACTGCGATGTTGAGTATGCATTCTCAAAAAGAAATATACCACTTTTCTGAGCAATTGAAGGTCTTCAAAACATTTTGGAGAATGTGGATCGGCGATGATATTACAAAAAAGGACAAAGTAAGGCATGAAGGGATAGTAGAGGAGTTGCCTGTCCATTTGTTAGAGAAATGAGAATACGGATTCTGAGTAAAAGACAACACAGGAATAAGAGCTCGAGAAGAAATTAATTGAGGCAGGAGAGTGACGGGTAATTACGTACCATAAAATACCATTGAAGACTTCATTGGAATTTTGAACAAGTTTCTCGAGCATCTTGATGGCTACTCTAGCGGAGAAAAGACAAAGTTCGTGGTTTTGTTTGGAACTTCGAGTCAAGTACACAACCGAATGGTGATATTGGAATATGAGGAAGTTAATGCCTATCTCGATTGACTGGATCTCACTCGATTCTCCCTGGAAATTGTTGTATGCTGACATTCTCTGAATTTGTTTATCAGTTGAACATTGCTTTTGGAAAGTAGACATAACGAACTTCATCCAAACTGTCCTTCCAAATCTCAAGCTTTTGCTTCATTTCGGAGATTTCCCCCGTCTCTGACTCCCCATTATGGATAAGAAGAGCGATATCTATAATCTTTCCCTGTAATACAAAGAGCTCTCGTGCCAAAGCAAAATATAATGCGCCGAACGCATCACTCAGTGGATTCTGTTGTAAAGTCCCAATGTCTCGGGCCGAGGGACGATGAGGTCTGAATGTTGCAAGAAAGGCTGGATCAGGAGGATCGACCCCCTCGTATATTCGACTTGATAGAAAAGGGGGTCTTCCGAAAGCAAGCGATAGCGATTTATCAATCATGAATAAATTCCAGAATAGGCAGTTCCTTTGACTATTCTCATTGCTTTTCTTTGGGTATTTAGGGGAAGGGACATGTAGATTGAGACTTTGAGCCATTCGACAAGCATGACTTATGAGTGTCCAGCATAAACCTGGAGGAACAAGATCTTGGCTATGAGTAGATACCATTAATATTGCTTGAATACTAATCACTGATGGCTCGAGGAAAAACGAGAAATCCTGTAGCATCATCCACACATTCCATTGAAGACCTCGATTAATTCTATTGTTTGATGGTTCCATGAAAGCTATTGTGGCTGATAGGAATGCATTGTATAACAAAAGCCAGGCTCTCTCGGATATCGTCTTTGGTTCAAACGCAAGCTTTGGAATTATATCGATTGGAGGCATGGTAAAAAATGGTTTGCCTCGTTCGATGCCTGCAATGAAAACTTTCAATGTCAGTGTTTTTAGTCGACAATATTTATGAGAATGGAACACTTCTTACTTTGTATCATCCGCTCCCCTTCAGCTTTTTCTGGGACGAAAAATACCTCCCTTTGCCTTCGAAAATGCTTTACATTTGAATATATGTCAGGATCATCAAACCTTCCTTCGGCAAATGATGCAGTCAGGTACGACAATCCATTCTCAGCATCTCGTTGTAAACCTGGTTCGAGATTACTTGATTTCATTTCAGCTGTGGTAATGCTGGTTTTTGCTTGGCTCAATATTGAAGGAACTGAAGAGTCTTCATTGAGGTGTTCGCTTTGATCGTCACAAGATTGTGATTCGACGAAAAGATTTGGATCATGTATGATGTCCTTGTCACTATTGTAATTCGGTGAGTTTGAGGAAGTGGTATCGGAATTAGTGAAGACAGGAGTCTGAGTATAATCATTGATTTCGGGAATATGTGAAGTGTGGTTCCGATCTTTGTGATTATTAACGCTGTCGTCTTGTAGTATACTTTTACTTATTAGTAATGATCCCCAATGGCTGCAACCGTATACGTAGAACTGACTTCGTCCTTGTTCGTCTTGTAATTCTTCCACGGCGAGAGTAAGTGCATGGGCCTGACCATCCCTGACAATTCAAACATTTCGGTTTCTCTCGGGAGCATTTAAGCTAAACATGATCAGATTTGATATCGTTAGAGAGCAAGGGACAATTGGTTGAACCAACCTTTCTCCGTTGACAATGATCGCACTATCCACCGGAGTAACATAAGTATGCGAATCTCATTGGGAGATCCGGGACTTACAGCGTACTGCTCAAGTTCTGTCTGCTTTGTAATTGGCATCTTTGGGTCGTGGGAACTTCCCAATACTGCATTAGGGGTTTAATCTACTTGGAAAGTGGTGAGTTGACAAGTCGGGTGTATGTTTATTTGACCTTCGATTTTATTGATTAAATTCAAAGGCGGATTGGAACTGTGAAATCCTGGAGGATATCTCGGTGACTTGGTAAGATGAAGTGTGCACGGAACGGAACTTAAGCGGAGGTTACGGTGTTTGCTTATATCATCTTAGTACTTCAAGTTAGATATAATTATCAATTTAAACTTTATATATTCTAGAATAATATAAAACGACAATTTGAATACAAGTATTAAAACTTAAATGGTTTAAATGATTTTTATATTAATATATAGTTTAAAATTATTACTTAACGAAGTAATTAAAATCTTATAAATAAAATTAAAACTCTTGATTCTCTCAGATTCCGCGATTCTAATTAGTCTTTGAAAAGTATAAATAATCTATATAGAAATATTAAATAATATAATTAAAATATATAGCTTTATTTTTTAAATTATAAGCTTTTTAATAGCTCGATTCTAATCTTTATATAATGATATTTATTATTAAATAATTAGTTATTAAAAGATTTCGAAGTTTAAATATTTAGAGTCTAAATTTAAAACTAACTAGATTTAAAATCTAGTATATAAACTATTATTCTAAATAGTTTTAAAGTTTTACTTTTTATTCAAAATTTACTAATAATATTAATTTCTTAATTTCTTAAACTTAAAGCAAAAATTGAGATAGATAATAATTATATTAT